GACAATAGTTTCCAGAATGGACAACTCCATTACTTCTGCTTACCTTGGCGTTGTGAGCATCTTCCCACATAGGCATGATCACGTTCACGGAAGAGATGGTAGTTACACCCAACAGGAAGTTTGCTTGGTGGAGGAATGTTGTTGATCGTTCCCTGCGGTAGTAAGTTCTCAACTGGGACATCTCATTGTCGTTTTTCTTCTCACCCAGAAGTCTTCAATCGTATCAAACTCACTCACTCGTTTCATGTTCATCGTCAAAGTCAGAGAGGGACAGAGGGAGGGGATGTACAAGCAGGTTCGCAGACAGCAGTCAACAAGAGGGAGAGCAGGGGCGAAGGAGGATCGGAAGAAGCATGAGGGAGGAGTTCACTTTGTTCGCTCTGAACGCACTTCCACAGCACGGTTCACAGAGGGTGTGCCCACAAGGAGCGATGAGCAATCTGATCTGCAGAGAAAAGCGTCAAAGTTGCCCTGACTCTAGCATGACAAATACAGTCGGCGACGAGTCCTGGCAGAAGCTGCAGGCACTGAGCGCTACCTCCACATCCTCCCACATCCTCTGATCAGCTCCTCCTCATCATCATCGTCGCCGTCGTCGCCGTCGTCTCAGTAGCTCCAACACTCCATGGGCCTGCCTGGGGCAACCAAGGTCAACACATCGCTGCAGCAGTGCTCTGATAGCAGCAGCCCTCCATGCTTCTTTCCCCTACATTCTCATCCTCTATCCTCACCTTCCTCCACTCTCCCTGCCCTTGTACTCACTCTCACTGTACTCCGAGACCATGAACGGTTGAACGTCTCTCAGCATCTTCAACACCTTCAACCCCTACCCCCACCAGTCCCCCGTCCTCCACCACAGCACCTCCCTCCCCTCGCCACCTTGAAACATGCCCACCCCACCCTTCCTCCCTCTACCCTCTCAATGCCTTACTACTTCCTCCCCGTCCCCGTCCCCCTCCCCCTCCCCTTCCGCTCCCCTTCTCCTTCCCGCTCTCCCTCTCCATTCTTCCCACCCAGCAACCCCCCGCATCCCCACATCTCTTTCTTCCTGCCTGTCTGGAACAGGTCTGGAACAGGTCTGGAACAGGAACTGGTCTGAAACCTGGGTTAGAACCTTTGCGTCCCTCCAGCCTCCTCTCCCCTCCCCTCCCCTCTTCCGGCTCTGGCCATAGGTAGTAAGTCAGGTCGAGTTAGGAACAGACGAAGGAGGGAGGAAGGTAGGAAGGGAGAAGGTAGGAAGGGAGAAGGTGCGGAGGACGGGCGGAGGAGAGAGAGAGGAAGTAAAAAGGTGGGAGGTATGCAAGTCGAGGACTTGGGGAGAGGAGGAATGGAAATCTAGGTGAAATTCTGACGATCTCATGCCTTGCACCCCAGCCTGACATCATCGTCATCATCACCTCCGTCGCTCCTGCCTCAACCACCATGTCCGACCGCTGGGTATCGATGCAAGATCGCTGACATACCCAGCATGCATGGCGCCCGGAGCGACAGGACTGGATGACCATGGCCGTCATCCTCGGCTTGCACTTATCGACTGCAATGCTCTGCCTTTTGCGGATCTGCTCTTTGTTCCACGTGCTCTCCTCCGCTTCCATACTCACGTCCTCCAGCCCTCAAGTGCCAGCAAACTGGGGAGAGATGAGAGTTTCCAGGTGCGGGAGGGAGAGAGGAGTGCGAAGAGAAGGCTGCGGTCGCATGCCAGCGCCATGACCATATCCAAGGTACTCCCGGCGGCCCGAAGACTCAGGCACCAGCGTTCCCCCCAAGAAGAAGAGGAGCAGCTGCAAGGAAGCAGGCAAGACTGACAGGACGTGCAACCCCTCGCCAACGGCTGCTCGCAGGGTGTAGCAGGCAGCCGTCCTTCGGCTCGAAGCAGGCGAGAGGGCCAGTGTTCTGCTCTGAACATCGCCGACCGGAAGACATTGACTTGCGGAACAGGAGGTGTATGTACGCGGAGGTAGGGGGGCAAGCAGATTCTTGTTTGATGGGTCATGCTGACTGCCAGGGCTGCTCACGTTGGCCGTTCTATGGCAACCAATACGACAGAGTGAGAGCACCGATGAGATAATGCGTGTGAACTTTGTTTGGATGGAGATGACAATCGGTGGTTTAGAGGATGATGGTGGTGATACAGATTCTGATGCTGCTGCTGCTGCTGCTGCTGCTCCTGATGATGACGATGACGATGATGACGACGACGACGACGACGATGACGATGTTGATGGCGATGATGATGATCGTGTTGATGACAATGTTGACAATGTTGTTGATGATGATGATGATGATGACGATGTTGATGATGATGAAGACGATGTCGATGATGATGTTGATGATGATGATACCAGGTCAAGATGTTCTGCTGGGAGCACAAGAACGAGTTCGTGCCAGCTCTTGATCGCTTACATGCTAACGTACGAGGAACCAGAAGCCATGTGGACGTCGTGAGGAAGCGATGCGAGCATGAGGGATGCGAGAGGTGCCCTGTGCTACCCTCACCCAGAAGCGATGCTCCCCCAACATTTGAAACCAGGTGGCCCTCCTTTGCTGAAGTTGGACAATCTTCTCCCTCCTTCTGTAAGTCTCTGCCTGCTTTCCATTCTCAGGGCTGATCCGCCATTGAGGTCGGAAACATGCTCTGTCTTGCCATGTGGATGTGAAGCACAAGCGATGTGTTGTTCATGGGTGCTCAAGGCAGCCTATCTTCGGTACATCGCATCCCTTCCTTCTTTGTACCTGTATCAACATGCGGCTGCTACTTCGGTTTTCTCCTTTCTCCTCCAATTCATCCCTTCATTCAGACCTCTCCCTTCCCTTGCTCCCTCTCAAGACCTTTCAGAGCATCCCTTCTCACCACAACACTATTGCAATAGGAAGCCCGCAAGGAGGGAGGATGGTTCACTGTGCGCGACACAAGCAGGTCGGTGGGAGATGGGACTTTCAAGCTCGATGACGTTATGCGTTAGGAGGATGAAGTGGACCTCAAGCATCTAGTTCGAACGAGGAAGTCGAAAGGACAAGATCAGACCAACAGTAGCAGCATAGCTGCCCATTTTAAGCCATGAATGAAGCTGTGTTCCAAACCAACATTTACAAGGATCGAGCGTGAGGAGAGGGACAAACAGGATGCAGAGGAACTGATTTAAGACAAAACTCTTATACTGAGATCAACGGTGGATGATTTAGTTCTTGACGGACTCACGGAAAGTGAAGGAAAGGTCATCCTGGGCGGTCGAGGCACCTGCAGACACATCAGCTCCGCCTTTCCAGTCCTCCTCTAGCTCACCGGTGGTGGAGATGTCGACGGGGGGCGGAGCTTGCAGCACTCGTTGACAGCATGATGGACGGGGTTCTTGACGAACTTGTCGATCATTGCCTGGTTCACACCCTTCTTGGCATCGAGGTCAGCGCAGGCCTGCTGCTCGAGCATGTAGTCAAAACGGGGAGCCCACTTGCGGGATCCGAGGCGAGCAGTCCTGGAGCAGTTGTCAACCTGCAACAATGTCAGCTGACCCGCAAAACTTCACAGCTTAACAAACCATGAAGGCGACACCCTTGGCGTGCATGTAGGGGCAGAGGGAGTCGACGGCCTCGATCACAGACTCGTTGACGATCTCAGTGTACGAGTGACCGTTCTCACGGAGCACGTCGATCTGTGCCATCATGGTGGCGATGTACATGCCGGCAGTGGTGGGGTTCAAGGGGATCTGGTCCTCCTTGCGGGCAGCGCGGACCTGACACATGACGTTAGAGACGAGGGCCGCCTTTCCTCTCTAGTAGCTGTACCTTCTCGCCGACCTTCCATGTGAAGGTGCCGTCGATCTTGCCGATGGGGAACCTGGAGCAGGAGTGAGCACACATAGCAAACCAGTCATTCACATCTCGCACTTGTCAAAGCGGTCGCCGTGCATGATGACCGATCGGATCTCGTTTCCGGACTTGACCTCATCGTAGATCTCAGCAAGCACATCCTTGGCTGGGGTGTAGGACGCGGAGTAAGCCTCCTCAAAGCGCTTCTTGTCCTCTCCCTGGAACATCTGGTACACGTTCAAGATGCCTTTCTTGGAGATGGTCTTGGTGATGGGTCCAGTGATGGATTCGCAGGAATTCTTGAACGCATCCTCGGGGGTCATGCCCTGGGACATGTACCTCCTGAAGAGAACCTCGACGATACCGTGAACGGCGCCGAGGAGGATTCCACGCTCGCCATAGATGTCAGAGCAGTACTCCTCCTTGAGGGTAGTCTCGAACACGAAGGGAGATCCAATGGCGATGGCCCAGCCAAGAGCGATCTCGGTAGCGCGGCCAGTAGCATCCTGGTGCACTCCAAAGGAGGAGTTGATACCAGCTCCGTTGACAGTCTTGCCCTGCTCATAGAGCCTGCGGACGGAAGGGCCCATACCCTTGGGAGCAACCAGGACGACGTTGATGTCCTTCCTGAAGGTCTCACCGATGGACTCGAGGTGTCCAAGGAGGAATCCGTGGGAGAGTCCAAGGGTGGCACCAGGCTTGATGAGAGGCTCGATCTTGGTCTTGTAGTCGTTGGCCTAGAGGGGATACGTCAGGGATCGAAAGGCACTGAAAGGGTGGACACCCTTATCGCACCTGAGCAGCATCGGAGATGAGGAGCATCACGAGGTCGCTCTCCTTGATCACGGCGGATTGCTCGCCGAGGGTTCCTGGAAAGTTTCTTAGCCCGAGCACAAGGAGCACGATGAGGGGTGTTCTACAATAGCCAACCGGAATGAACGAGCAAGAGCAAGAGCAAGAGCAAGAGCAAGAGCAAGAGCAAGAGCAAGAGCAAGAGCAAGAGCAAGAGCAAGAGCAAGAGCAAGTGTCAGCACCATCAGCCTCGCTGAATCCAACGGCCTGAGCGGCCTTCCAGGATGGAGAATTGGCCCTGAGGCCTACAGTGACCTTGATGTCGGATCCGATTTCCTTGAGAGTATCGGCAAGGTTCTGTCCCTGTGCCGGAGCCTGGGAGCCCCATCCAATGACGCCGATCTTCTTGATTCCCTCGAAGGCCTTCTTCACGAGGGGGAACTTGTCCCGTCCTCCCTGCACATCCCCGATCAGCGCACGAGTCAGCAAGCACAACTCCTTGTACCCTGAGGATATCCTCCTTGGTGGGATCCGGACTGACGGAGAATTCGATCGTCTCTTTCTGGAAGACCTTGGTGTCGAACATGTAGGGTCCAACCTGTGGGCTACATTTTAGCTGGTTGAAAGGATGTGACCATGAAGGTTCGTAGAGGCGGTCGAGGAAGTAGCCATGCTCGTACCTTGCGGGAATTCCTGAGAGAAAGTGGGCGGATCGAGCTGACAGCAGACGGGATCTTGGAGAGAGAGGGGGGAGAGAGAGGGGAGAAGGCCGCCACGGCATGGAGAGCCGGGAGCAAGAGGATGGCGCGGGTGGCCGGCATGGTGTCGGCGCGTGCGAAGGTAGGGTAGAGGGTGCTAATATGGCAAGGTGGGGTTGATTTGGGTAGGGGTGTATTGAAAACCTGGGGTCCTAATTCTAAATTTGAGCTGCATGGGTACTATGAATAGATTAATTTCAACAACAAAGGGGGGTGGGGGTAGACGATTTTCATCTTGTAAACAGGGTAGTCAATCGGATCCCAGGGTAGGGTACCAGCGTGTCCAGTGATGCATTCGTGTGAAGAAACAGGGGGTATAGTCTCCATGGGTAGTGAAAATGGTAGGTGGGGTCACCTGATCCCATCAGGGTAGATCCCTGCGGGATTGAATACATACTCTTAGGAGTGGGTACTTGATGGATATTTCTAGGGTAGGGGTAAAGGGCAGGGATTGAGGTGCAAGAAGGGGTAGTGAGAGGTGTAGAAGTCTGTAGGTGGGGGTCATTGGGAGCAGAGCAGGGGTAGGCGTATGGGAGGCCGGACGCAAAGGGAATAGGTACCGGTTGTTTTTCAAGTAAAAAGAAGGGTCCATCTACAACTTGGGGTAGTGAACTGTCACGTGAGCCTTTGGTCCACAAGAACATCTTTTGGAATTATAGGAAATTATAATGACTGATACTGAATATAAGTATAATTATAGAAAGTGGTAAAATCTGCATAAGACCCGGACAGTCCAGCCGGTCATGGACTCACAGATCCCGGCCCCGATGTATATAACTTTTTTTTATTGGATCAAGATGGTACCAAAGAGGATATTAATTTTAAACATGTATATCAATCATTTGGAAATGAATAGCGACATGTATTGATAAAATTATTTTTGAAACCAAATCGTAATGATTAAAACTAGTTATAGAATATGCTATTTTTGGATCGTCCCGAAATAGAACGCGCGCAACAAAACCCACCTGTCTTCCCCGCTCTTCTCAACCGGATCACAGGTAAGACCATGACACGCATGATTTGTTGGGATGTTGTGCGATATGTGTTGCTGTGAGATCTTTCTATTTGTATTGAGCTATCGAGGATCTTCTTATTTCAGATGTTGAATTCTTTGTTGCTCGGTCATGTATTAATACTGATTAGCTGCTTTTCTGAGACTCATTTCATTGTGACAAGAAACTGACGCTCTTGTAGCAATGTTCCAGACCGTTCAGCAGACCTCCCAGCTTTGGATGTGGAAGATGGAGTACCTCCACCACGAGCAGCGCCCTCTCTACTTCGGCGAGTGGTTCTAAGCATGTAATCTAGAAACATTTCGTTGACCCGTATTAATAAAAATCAAAAAAAAGATTGAAACAGAACTTCTGCATTCTTTGTTAATTATCACAGAATTATTTTCAAGCAATGATAGTCGCCATGATCTGACATAAGTGTTTGGGAGACAGCGGAATTAAGTTTGGTCTGGGGTAGTTTATTTACAATTTGCTCATGTCTTTCACAGCACCTTCAGTATGGCAGTTCTCCTTCCCGATGGCCCTCTCTCGTTTCTTTGCCACCCGCATTAAAAACGACTGCTTGTGTCTCTGTCGAGCAGAAAGTTGTGTAGCTGAATCATAATCCGAACCACTCCATGCATCTTCTCCTGCTGTAATGTAAGGTTGACTACACACGAGAGAGTCGCAAACCCGGCAAGTTGATTCTTGGGAAGAGAATTTTCACAGCACTCTCGCACATCCTGATGGTTCATGTTTGTCAGCCTGCAATTCAACCACAGTGCTTGCATCTCACTTCACTCCTTCGTGTGCCACGCCGGGGATTGTCTGCAGTTGCCATCCAAAACACACTCCATAGTGCTGCGAGGCAATCAGAAATAGGCCGTACTCGCTTTACATTTACTTCCGCAGCCTGCAGTCCTGCTTCAAAGAAGGACTGTCCTCGCTCAAACCTTGAGAATCTGTCATCCATCCCTCGCCAATCCTTCTCAGGATACCTGTGTTTGCCCTGCTTTGCTGCAAGCTTGCCGATGGGCAAGTGCTTGTGATTGGGATCTGTATCTTCCTCTCCCAGAAGCACCTAAAATAGAAATAGTCGGTCGATGACAGTCGAAGATTCAGAAGGGGGGGGGGGGGGGATGGGGAGGAAATGAGGAAAGGAACGCCCTGACCACTAATGGCGCCTCCAAGAAAATTCTCAAGTCCTCCTCTACATCAATCACACATGTCAATCCAGATGAAATCAAGAAGCAGACACTCTGTACCAGTGAACAGTTGCCCACAGCGACCGAGACCATAGGGAAATTTCATCTGAGCCAATCGGTTAGCAAAGCATGGCCATCAGCGGGCAGCTCACATCAAGAGACGGCATTGAGTAAAAACCAGCATTTGCGGCTACCGCCTTGATGATATGAGACTTGTTGTTTTTCGAAGCCGAGAATGCGACAAGCCTTGAAGAGAAAAGAGGAGAAAATTAATTCTTTGATTCAAACGCATCGCGAAAAACCTGTGCACAAACTGGGCCCCAGCGGAGTGACCAAAAATGTGATAACCTGAATTCAAGTTTAGGAAAAACCTTGCAATTACTAACAGATCTTCCAAAACCTGGAGCGGCAAGCTTCAGCTCAACTTTGAGCGCAAGAAAAAAGTTTTCAATCGCAGTAAAACTCCAAAATTTGCGGTCCTGGTATCAATTTAAGAGAACGAATCCGTAAAGCGAAAGTGTACTCGCGGCTTGCTCAAATCCTCTTGCGCAAAAACTCCACCGCAGTTGTACTAGACGGCTTTCAGCAAACAAAAACCTACATAGAAGCAAATACCTCTGCCCTGGTAGGGAACTGCTCTTGGCTGAAGTATGGTACAAGGAGAATGAAATGATGCTTCTGAGGGAGGAGCCTCTTATCCACAAGCTTATGAAACATCTCTTTAGCATCTCGATTCACTCCGTGCATGACAAAGAGGACTGGTGTCTCCTCATTCCTGGTAGATCAGTAAATATCACGCGTCAAAGGATTCTCTATCGGCCTACCATCCCTCCGGAATGAACGCAAAGACTTTCAATGGTTCTACAAAAGGAAAAAAGAAAAAATAACCGTAAGAACAAGACCTGTGATGATAGGTCACAGTACAACCTTCTCGCTTAGAAGCTGGGTCGTAGAAATAGAACTCAGTCTCACTGCCCACATTGATTTGGCGCGCCTTCAGGAAGGGAGGATCTCCCTCGGAGAACACGGGCCTGCTGAAAGACGATCTTGCTTTTGGTGAACCTTCATGACGGCTTTCTGTCAGGGCCATTGGAGCCTTGCTCTCTGGATGAGAGCCATCTGACATGTCAGAGCCTCTTTCAAGAGACTCTGAGTTTATCTCTCTCAGTCGGTTGACTCCGGATACAATATCTTGGCTCTTGATCACTTTTTCTCTGAGCGCCGTTGAAGCCAAGTTGGGGGCGATATTGCTAGCAAGTGATAAGATGAAGAAGTAGAAAGCAATCAGGATGAATGTAACAGGAAATGTCTGTCGTGTCCACGTTAACTGCCGTCTGGGTTTCACGGAGAAAATTTCTCGATGGGGGCTGTGCTGCAGAGTCACAAAACTCTGCTGCAAGTTTATGTTGTTGTCAGAGCAAGCAGAATTGCGGTTTGGCAGTACCAAAGTTTAAGATTCTGAGGTGGGACGGAAATGATTTTCAAGTGAGCCAGGTAAGAGAGGCCAAACCAGTAACTGGGCTACGAACTGACGAAAGTCTTGTTGCTGACGATTATTTCTGAAGGGGCAGAAGCAGACTACCGAGCCTATGCGCAGTTCCTTCGGATTATGTTGTATGTGGCTCTAGAGGGTGCAGGGAAGCAGCAAAGGACGCGGACGCAATCACACAAAAGGCAGTGGGCGCTGTACGGGCGGAAGGGATGCAGGTGGGGTTGATTCACGTTGCTAGCATGGGGTGGGGTATAAATGGGCCTTGGAGGGTCCAATTGAAGCTGCACGATGGGGGTGATCTGAACAAGGAACGTGGGGTAGGGGGGAGGGGGTGGTACAATGCGATATTTGCATGTCAGATGTACCGGTAGTCGGAGGGGTGTTGAAGGGGTAGTGTAGCCTGCCGAGAAGGCCATGGACTGGGTGGGGTCCACTTGAGGAGTAATGGATTACAAGTATTTATAGACTTACAACATAATTGTGGTACAAATGACATTTAATAATATTTAAAAGAGGAATGTTCGAGACATGCACTACTAATTTCTTTACTCACTTGAGTATTTGTATGGTCTCTGGACTTGGCCCAGTACAGAAAAAGGGGAGCTATTGGTACATGTTGCTCTTCCAGCAAGTGTGAATGGTATAATTTTTAACTATTATTTTAACAGGCTAGATTACGCTGCCCGGCCGCCCGGGAAATAAATGTGATTGCACCCTGTCATGTCCTGCCACATGCCGTCCTGCAGCGATCTGATTCCTAGGTTCCTGCTGTCTTCTTCATGGTCCTCCTACGTCGTCCCTATCACAGTTGTTGCTGTCCTCTCCATGAATATCTTTCAGCATCTGTGCCCTTAAGTTCGTTCGACAGGTGATAGTCATGATCGTGTACGAGTCGATCAGCTCTCACCATCCAGTTCTACGAACCCTCCAGCTGTGGCACAGCCCAACACGTGTGTTGTCGGTGCAGTTTGGTTGATGCAAAAGGATGCAAACGCTATTCTGAAGGTATGCAGAATAGTGCGGGATATGCTTTCATCTTGTATGAGCATGGGAACTAGTTGGCTCGGATCGCAATGAGAATGTGGAAGCATGCACCTTGTTCAGTAGAAAGAGGGTGAAGGGAAAGAGTGCGCTTCTGAGAATCTTTGACGACCCTGAGGCTTCTAGGATTTCGGCTTCAGATGATCCCAACACCCAAGCATTACTTGATCTGGAATCCAACAATGTAAGCCGACGCACTCGAGAGATGTATGCTTATCGAATTATGGGTATGATCGAGTTCTTCCCGGAGATCGGCAGTAAGCGCAGACGGCGTAGAAGAAGAGAATGCAGATACCTCAGACGTGGCAGGTCACGAGCGTCAGCCAGAGGCAGTAGCCAACACTGTGATAGTATCAAGCAGAGTGTCCACAGTCCAGGGGTATAAAAGTGCGTTGAAATATCTTTACAGACGCAGGAATGTTAGGTTTGCGGCAATCTTGTTGAAAATTTGATGACAAGGGGTCTGATTAGGGAACACATTACTATCAGATTTATTCCGGAAGTTCTACTGGAGGCCATGGGAGGAGAACACGGCCCGACAGCCTCGTTTTAGGAGAACCTTGACAGAGAGCGTTGGAAGGGAATGGAAGACCTTGTCATGCTAAGCCTATGACTGTATCTCAGGACACCATTCAAGCTGTGGGACTAGGAATTGGATCCGTGACCGGTCGAAGAATCCGAGAGGCAGATCAAGGAGAACGAAGTGAAGGGTTCTGGCGTGAGGTTCTGGGAGACTTGATTGCTTGAAGTAAACGAGCTTGAACACCTGTACAAACCTATTTATCACCTCTGTGATGACATCAACGCGTTCTTGGAAGTAAACGAAGGAAGAGTACTTTTCATTGATGCACCGGGTGGAACAGGGAAAACGTTTCTTCTAAATATGATCCTCACGAGAGCAAGGCTTAGTGGAAAGAATGCAGTAGCTGTAGCATCTTACAGCATTGCAGCAACCCTTCTTCACGGCGGACGACCAGCGCTTTCCGCTTTTAAACTTCAACTGGACATTTATCGGACAGGCTGAGACCCGCCGTGTTGCAACATCTCAAAGGACTCTGCAATGAAAAGGTTCGTTGCTCAGTGTCCTATGATTGTATGGGACCAGGTCAGTATGGCAGAAAAGAAAGCCTTGGAAGCTGTATAAAACAGATGACAAGACACTAGAGATGCCACCTTGACATCTGTATGGGCGGAGTGTTTGCTGTTCTGGGAGGTGACTTTCGTCAAACCGGAGATTGAGGCGTCCACCAAGGCTTCGTCCTTGTGGACCAGAGCTCAACCCCTCAGTCTCAGAACAGACAAGCGTGCTGCGTTGAGTGGGGAAGTATACGCGCAAGAGCTTGCGATCAGGTTACTGATGGTTGGTGAGGATCAACTCCCGACCCCGGGTTGACAGCATGATTCATCTTGCTCCAACTGTTTGCTCTTTGGTCGACTCTCAACAGGAAACAGAACTGCTCGAAAACGTCCTCCCTGATCTCCTACACAATGTGCAGAGCTTGGCATCGTTGTCACGGCAAGGAATCCTTTCAGTGCCCGAGCAACAATGCCGCAGCTAAGGTGAACCTGGCAATCCTTCAACGACTTCCCACTCCGCCTAGAACGTATCATTCAATTGATACACGGACATAGATCAGGAAGAAGTAGTCCAGTTCCCCAGTGTGGAATTTCTCCGACGCTCTCAGCCCGGGTGGGTTCCCTCCCCATGAGCTCTCGCTCAAGGTCGCTGCTCCCATCATGCTAACCAACTCCCAAATTGTGTAATGGAACCCGACTTCAGCTATCGCAACATGGCGGAGGCAACTGTCATGACATGTTGCCACAGATGCAATTCAGTCCCCTTTCTTCTGTCCTTGGCGTTCACCATCAACAAGTCTCACGGGCAGTTCGATGGCTGACTGTCGCAGGCCTTCACCTGGGAACCCACACGGTGCTTCTCGCTCGGACATTTGTTTGTCGCCCTTTCCCGCGCACAGTAGCTAGGGATTACTCAACTATTCAGCCTTCTGGAGCTTCGCAGGAGCTTCGGGGACTCGAGGGGGTGGTGGGGCTACCGAAACTACGGGGTACTAGGGGTACACAATCAGAGTTACTACAGTCCTCTTACCCAATCGCGCACCTCCCGCCATGGTAGGAACCGGCGGTCCCTCTCTGCCTCTCACCGCCCTTATGCTCCTTCCTGCCATCCATGCCTTCTGCCCCTGCGCACTCGATGTATGCATCCGGCCGAGGAGGACTGCTGTCTCGAGCTACATGCGCAAACTTGAAAGGCCATGAAGCCGGTACATGCATACGTCGCGCTTCTAGTCTCAACGCGCTGGAGTGTGCAGAGCGTAGGAGAAAGGGAGTGCCCGGGAGGACGAAGATGTCCATGATGCAGCAAGAAGGAGACTATCGTGAGGAGATGATCTCTATAGGCGCGCAGATTGCTAGGGTGGAGGAGGAGATAGATCAGGTCAACCGACAGATCACAGAGGCAGAGAAACGTGCACTCGATCCAAACATTGACAAGGATGAGCGGCAATACTGGCGCAAGAAAGAGGATCGGCTTCGAAGGAAAGAGAAGCAGCTTCGAAAGAAAGAGGAGCAGCTCCGAAAGAAAGAGAAGCAGCTTCGCGATCTACTCCTGATCGAGAAGAAGAGGACTCAAGGTTCAAAGATGCTTGAAGACTTCCTGTCAAAACCTCAAGGTGATGCTAGCCGTGCACACGATTGACGACTGGAGGCACTGACGGGGCTGATAGGCGATCCGTTCCTGTCCTTCTTGAACGAGCTTTGCCAGGCTGCGAGGGCAGGCAGGACTTACTCTGCTCAAGAGATTGTGAGCTTCTCGACCTTCTTGGGAGGGAAAGCGATTTTCGGAAATCAGCTGTTCCTTCGAGATTGCTACTTGGAGATGAAGCAGGTAATTGCAGAGTACTTCCGCTTGGACACGGAGACGCCGGAGAATGGGCAGGTCGTCCTCACAGGGAGTCCAGGGATAGGGAAGTCATGCTTCGCCTACTTCTTTCTTCTTCAGCTTCTCGGCTCTGATGAGGAAGTAGTCTATCAGGTAGGAAACGAGCACTGGTACTTTGATGGGGCAGAATGGAGTCAGTTTGGAGATGTGGCCGTCGCTGTAAACTTTCTCATGAAATTCCGGGGGTGGTACATCTGTGACCTGTACAAAGGCCTGGGGAGCTACGTGTTAGCACGTTTGGCGAAGACAATCATACTGTCTTCACCCAAGCTTGGAAGGTTCAAGGACATTCTGAACAATGGAGCGGGGCGATACTTTCTGCCAACATGGACTGATGAGGAGATGTCAATCTTCATCAAGATGCAAGGGGGTCGCGTGAACGAAGAAGAAGCAAAGAATATCGTCGAGGATTGGGGGAACGTACCGAGGAATGTCATAGTGAGGCCAATAGAGACACTTGAGCAGGAGATACAGACGATAACCTCACTGTCGTCGCTACAGGAAAAGATGCAAGCAGCAGTGAACCAAGACCTGGGATCGCCATCGAGACTGATTCACCTGGTCCCAAGCTCAGACTACAAGACTGTCAGCGCTCGAGCATGCTCGCAGAAGGCCGCGGAGAAGATCTTTGCGGGACTTGTCAAAACAGACTGGGATAGGCTTGTAGAGCTGGTCTTCTCAGGCTCTGATTCTGGGTTATATGGGGCGGCAGCTCTAGTTTTTGAATGCTTGGCACATGAGGTGCTGAAGAAAGGAGGGAGATACAGATTGCGCAGTCTAGGGTCGGGTGAGGATGATGAAGGGGCAAGGGAAGAGATAGATTTGCGTATGAAGAAGTCGCAGGCATACTTTGAGTTCTCAACAACAGGACTCAACGAGTGGAAGATCATGGAGAACACATATTGCAAGCCCAAGGCATCGAACTTCCCTTGCGTGGCCGGCGTGGATGCGCTTTTATTGTCAGATCAGGAGGTCCTCTACATGTTCCAGATGACGATAGCAGGAAAACACCCGACCAAGCTTGGACCCCTGTGTAGGATGTTGACAGCTCTACGAGCCAAGAACAAGTTTGAGAGGGTGTGCCTTGTGTTTGTTCTACCCTCAGAGCTTGAGGGGAAGGCACGTTGGAGACGAGCTCAGGTTCTCACCCACGACAAGACAGCAAGTGAGATGGAGAAGCAGCAGATGGAAAACGTTACTCAGCACGCGATCTTCTTGTCCAAGGAAGACGTGGCATGGCTAAAGGGAGCGGAGATCAGCATCCAGCTCGTAGACAAGGCACGGTCTGAGAGGGAAGAGCAACTGGAGGGAGGCGATGAGGCGACACCATAAGGAACTGGAATCCGTGACGTTGCTGTGGGCTGAAAGAGTGGAAGGCTTGTAGTAGCTCTAGCGGCTACAGACGATTGACAGCTCATGAGGTCATGGGTGAGATCCATGGCGGCAGTCACGGTGACGAGCACTGTAGCTCGGGTAACCAATATATGTATCTGTATGAAGCTTCGTGTTGGGACAGAGATTGCATCGTTCGACGGACAACACAATGATCTAGATCACATTCGATACAACTCCTCGAGACTAACGCGGACCAAGGGAATGGATCATGCCCAGTACATGCACACTCTCACAAGACCGTCCATCCATATTGAACAGCGACGCAGAGCGAACTTGGCGCTCCGCCGCGAAAACACGACCAAGATACATCAATCATCACTTGCATCGCCATCATCTCCATCTTCTTCTTCTTCTTCTTCGTGTTCTCCTTCATTACCTCGATTACCTCCGTCATCATCATCATCATCATCATCATCGGGCTAATTACTACCAACATCGTCATTTCCATCTTCTTCTTCTTCCTCCTCCTCCTCCTCATCATCATGATGATCATTATGATCATCATTATCATCTTCTTCAACAAGAACAACAACAACATCATCATCATCATCATCATCATCATCATCATCATCATCATCATCATCATCATCATCATCATCATCGTCATCATCATCGTCATCATCATCATCATCATCATCATCATTATCATGTGAAATGTCCGAGGCTAGACTCTCGCTTCTGCATACCTGGTTCCACATGACAGAACAGCATGCCCAAGAGAAAATCAAAGGAGCTGCCGGACTCTCAACTTCCTCTGACAGGTCTCATCTCCTTCAAGATGTTGAGGAGTGCTTTATACTCTGGCATGGATAGACTTGTCTTGCCCTCGTGGGCCTGCATCACACCGTCGCTCTTCGTCCGGGTAACCCCTATCACAGCGGCTGCTGTCCTCTCCATGAACCTTCCAGCACCTGTGCAACGAGCCACCTCAACTGCTTGGCATAGGCTGAGCAAACAATATAGCTCCGATCAGTAGTCTCAACAAACAGATTGATGCCTCCATGGGCCAAGTGTCAGCTGTTCTGGCAGGTGACTTTCGTCAAACCGGAGATTGAGGCGTCAATCAAGTCTTCGTCTTTGTGGACCAGAGACCCCGGGTTGACAGCATGATTGATCTTGCTCCAACTGTTTGTTCTTTGGTCAACTCTCAACAGGAACTGGTCGAAAAGTCTATTGAGAGTCTGGTCAACTCTCAACAGGAACTGGTCGAAAAAGGCCGGGATCTGTGAGTCCATGACCGGCTGGAGTACGAGGACAATCAGGAGAGTCGAGAAGCTTGACCCTGACAAGCTATTTCCCGCCGGCTCCCAGATTCCAGATTTCAGATTTTTTCATACAAATATAAGTCAATTTCTTTTTTTTTCCTCCAAATGTTTTAGTCATTTTAATTTGAGAATGAAACGATGCGGTTGACTTTCCCAGATTTTGCTTTTCGAATGGGCAGGCACTATATGGAAATATACTATTAGCTCAATCGAGAAAAATTGTTAGAAGGTAGGGAGGGTACGCTGGGAGCATCAAATATGAACAGCAAGTGGACCCCACCCCCTGTAAGTATGTATTGAAAGCACCGGTGAATATTTCGGTGTGAATTTCAAATCACTTTGAATTGAGTCAAAAATCTGGAATCTGGGAGCCGGCGGGAAACGGCCCTATATAATACTGTCAACATTTTCAAACAATGTCGCTCTTTCCCGTACACAGCCTACGGTAGCTAGGGATTATTACTCAACTACTCAGCCTTCTGGAGCCGCAGGAGCTTCGGGGACTCGAGGGGGTGGTGGGGCTACCGAAACTACGGGGTACTAGGGGTACACAAACAGAGTTACTACAGTCCTCTTACCCAATCATGAATCGCGAACCTCCCGCCATGGTAGGAACCGGCGGTCCCTCTCTGCCTCTCACCGCCCTTATGCTCCTTCCTGCCATCCATGCCTTCTGCCCCTGCGCACTCGATGTATGCATCCGGCCGAGGAGGACTGCTGTCTCGAGCTACATACGCAAAGGCCATGAAGCCGGTACATGCATACGTCGCGCTTCTAGTCTCAACGCGCTGGAGTGTGCAGAGCGTAGGAGAAAGGGAGTGCCCGGGAGGATGAAGATGTCCATGATGCAGCAAGAAGGAGACTATCGTGAGGAGATGATCTCTATAGGCGCGCAGATTGCTAGGGTGGAGGAGGAGATAGATCAGGTCAACCGACAGATCACAGAGGCAGAGAAACGTGCACTCGATCCAAACATTGACAAGGATGAGCGGCAATACTGGCGCAAGAAAGAGGAGCAGCTTCGAGAGAAAGAGAAGCAGCTTCGCGATCTACTCCTGATCGAGAAGAAGAGGACTCAAGGTTCAAAGATGCTTGAAGACTTCCTGTCAAAACCTCAAGGTGATGCTAGCTGTACCCACGTTTGACGACTGGAGGCACTGACGGGGCTGATAGGCGATCCGTTCCTGTCCTTCTTGAACGAGCTTTGCCAGGCTGCGAGGGCAGGCAGGACTTACTCTGCTCAAGAGATTGTGAGCTTCTCGACCTTCTTGGGAGGGAAAGCGATTTTCGGAAATCAGCTGTTCCTTCGAGATTGCTACTTGGAGATGAAGCAGGTAATTGCAGAGTACTTCCGCTTGGACACGGAGACGCCGGAGACTGGGCAGGTCGTCCTCACAGGGAGTCCAGGGATAGGGAAGTCATGCTTCGCCTACTTCTTTCTTCTTCAGCTTCTCGGCTCTGATGAGGAAGTAGTCTATCAGGTAGGAAACGAGCACTGGTACTTTGATGGGGCAGAATGGAGTCAGTTTGGAGATGTGGCCGTCGCTGTAAACTTTCTCATGAAATTCCGGGGGTGGTACATCTGTGACCTGTACAAAGGCCTGGGGAGCTACGTGTTAGCACGTTTGGCGAAGACAATCATACTGTCTTCACCCAAGCTTGGAAGGTTCAAGGACATTCTGAACAATGGAGCGGGGCGATACTTTCTGCCAACATGGACTGATGAGGAGATGTCAATCTTCATCAAGATGCAAGGGGGTCGCGTGAACGAAGAAGAAGCAAAGAATATCGTCGAGGATTGGGGGAACGTACCGAGGAATGTCATAGTGAGGCCAATAGAGACACTTGAGCAGGAGATACAGACGATAACCTCACTGTCGTCGCTACAGGAAAAGATGCAAGCAGCAGTGAACCAAGACCTGGGATCGCCATCGAGACTGATTCACCTGGTCCCAAGCTCAGACTACAAGACTGTCAGCGCTCGAGCATGCTCGCAGAAGGCCGCGGAGAAGATCTTTGCGGGACTTGTCAAAACAGACTGGGATAGGCTTGTAGAGCTGGTCTTCTCAGGCTCTGATTCTGGGTTATATGGGGCGGCAGCTCTAGTTTTTGAATGCTTGGCACATGAGGTGCTGAAGAAAGGAGGGAGATACAGATTGCGCAGTCTAGGGTCGGGTGAGGATGATGAAGGGGCAAGGGAAGAGATAGATTTGCGTATGAAGAAGTCGCAGGCATACTTTGAGTTCTCAACAACAGGACTCAACGAGTGGAAGATCATGGAGAACACATATTGCAAGCCCAAGGCATCGGACTTCCCTTGCGTGGATGCGCTTTTATTGTCAGATCAGGAGGTCCTCTACATGTTTCAGATGGCATCGGCAGGACAACACCCGACCAAGCTTGGACCCCTATGCAGGATGTTGACAGCTCTACGAGCCAAGAACAAGTTTGGGAGGGTGTGCCTTGTGTTTGTTCTACCCTCAGAGCTTGAGGGGAAGGCACGTTGGAGACGAGCTCAGGTTCTCACCCACGACAAGACAGCAAGTGAGATGGAGAAGCAGCAGATGGAAAACGTTACTCAGCACGCGATCTTCTTGTCCAAGGAAGACGTGGCATGGCTAAAGGGAGCGGAGATCAGCATCCAGCTCGTAGACAAGGCACGGTCTGAGAGGGAAGAGCAACTGGAGGGAGGCGATGAGGCGACACCATAAGGAACTGGAATCCGTGACGTTGCTGTGGGCTGAAAGAGTGGAAGGCTTGTAGTAGCTCTAGCGGCTACAGACGATTGACAGCTCATGAGGTCATGGGTGAGATCCATGGCGGCAGTCACGGTGACGAGCACTGTAGCTTGGGTAACCAATATATGTATCTGTATGAAGCTTCGTGTTGGGACAGAGATTGCATCGTTCGACGGACAACACAATGATCTAGATCACATTCGATACAACTCCTCGAGACTAACGCGGACCAAGGGAATGGATCATGCCCAGTACATGCACACTCTCACAAGACCGTCCATCCATATTGAACAGCGACGCAGAGCGAAGCTTGGCGCTCCGCCGCGAAAACACGACCAAGATACATCAATCATCACTTGCATCGCCATCATCTCCATCATCATCGTCATCCTCCTCTTCTTCTTGTCTTCTCCTTCATTACCTCCATCACCATCATCATCATCATCATCATCGTCATCGTCATCATCCTCTTCTTCTTGTCTTCTCCTTCATTACCTCCATCACCATTATCTCATCATCATCATCATCTTCATCATCATCATCATCATCTCCTACGCCATCATCAACCCTTCCATGATCTCGTTCATCTACATCAACATATCCTTCATCGTTACCTCCATCATCTACATAGTCTCTGGAGCTTCGGTCTAGACAAGGAGACTTGCCCATGTCGCGTGGCAAGTATATACAACCCAAGAATGAGAATAGGACACATTTCAAGAGTGTAGGGCGATGCAAACACATATTTTTTCCGTGTGCTCTGCATGTCAGTGCGCTGCTTTCATGCAATCTTTTTCCTAGTCAAAGTGCTCAAGATGTAAAATGTCCGAGGCTAGACTCTCACTTCTGCATACCTGGTTCCATATCACAGAACAGCATGCCAAAGACAATATCCATGACCTGCCGGACTCTCAACTTCCTCTGACAGGTCTCATCTCCTTCAAGATGTTGAGGAGTGCTTTATACTCTGGCATGGATAGACTTGTCTTGCCCTCGTGGCAAGACAAGATTCACTCAATTAAATAATAAATATACCCTAATAAATTAATGTATCAAAAAGTAAACCGTTTTCAAAATAGATATTCATCATTGCATACTTGCTGCGAAAACTTGATAAATGTGAGCCCTTTACCATAAGTTGCCCTACTAGGATTTTGTGGGTGGTACCCAATGTAGTGAAGGGGCGAGGGGAATCGGGGGTAGGGGTACCCCTCAGTAGGGTAGCAGATCTGGAGGGGTGTAGGAAGAGCCTCATGATTATGGCTGGAGGCGTACCAGCAGAGGGAGAAGAGAGAAGAGAGAAGAAAGAGAAGAGAGAGAAGAGAGAGAAGAGAGAGAAGAGAGAAGAAAGAGAGAGAGAGAGAAGAGAGAGAAGAGAGAGAAGAGAAAGAAGAGAGAGAAGAGAGAACAGAGGGAGAAGAGAGGGTGGAGAAAGGGTGGAGAAAGGGACGCAATTGAGGGTGGAGAGGGAGGAGAGGGGATTGAGGGAGGAGGGATGGGACCAGGATCGAGTAGCCATATACAGGAAAACAGTAGTATTTTATCTACACGCATGGGATTGCATGAAAGCTGAGTGCCAACTTTGACAAACATGTCTTGTTGGAAATTGAAGTTTATTGTGCAGGCCCTCGGGATGCAACAGTTTTGATGAGACTCAGCTCAGGCCTCTTCTTCTTACTTGTGTTGCAATCTTCCTCCTCTCATCGAACCGTTCGGCCCACCCTTGCAACCACAACCATGATGCAGCTGATCAAGAACGCGGATGTCTATGCTCCTGCGCATCTTGGACTCTGTCACGTGCTCGTGGGATGCGGAAAGATCATGAAGATCTTCCCTGGAAACGCTTCGCTGCACGAGCAGACGTTCTTGGATCTGAACATCTCCACCAAGGACCTCGACGGCAAGAAAATGATTCCCGGGCTCATCGACGGCCACGTACACTTGACAGGAGGAGGAGGGGAGGCAGGTTTCAGGACCAGCGTCCCTCCTATCCCTCTCTCCAACTTTACCCTTGCTGGGGTGACCACGGCAGTTGGTGTGCTGGGGACGGACGACTGCGTACGTTCAACAGCCAGCCTACTTGCTCGAGCCCGCGGCCTGAGGGAAGAAGGGTTCTCAAGCTACATCCTTACAGGAGGCTACCATGTTCCCGTGACGACCCTGACTGGGTCAGTGAAGGAGGACATCGTCCACCTCGACCTCTGCATTGGATGCGGAGAGCTTGCTATCAGTGATCACAGGTTCTGCTCCTGCTTCCCTCTCGCCGGCCTGTCCTTCGTTTCAATGTCTCAAGCTGTGTCCTTTCTACTCCCTTTCTTTCCGTCCCTGCTTCACTCCTACCTCCTATCTTGCTTTGCTTCTTCCAACTTTCTCCTCTCCCATTTCTGCATCAGCCTCTCAGTCCTCCTTTCGACTCTCCTACACCTCCACCACCTCATTCTTGATTAGGACTGACATTTCTTTCCAGGTCCAGCCAGCCAACCTTCGACGAGCTCGTGAGGATAGCTGGCGACTGCCACGTTGCGAACCTGATGACCGGAAAGGCGGGAACCCTTCACCTGCACATGGGGGCAGGGCAGAGGAGGATGGAGATGGTGAAGAGAGCGCTGGAGGAGACAGAGATTCCTTCCAGGATCTTCAACCCGACGCACTGCAACAGGAACCTGCCGCTGCTGGAGGAGGCGATGGAGCTCGCGCTCCTCGGGTCTACCATCGACGTAACGGCTGGGACGGGGAAGAAGGGAGGAGGTGGAGGGCCTACAGCAGCGGAGGCCATCCGGAGGTACTTGAAGGACGACAGGATGCTTCCTCCAGAGAAGATCACGTGCAGCTCTGACGCGGGAGGGAGCATCCCGACATTCGACGAGCAGGGAAACTTGTTGAGGCTCGGGTACGGGACCTCCGCCAACCTCCTCGTGGCGATCAACGAGCTTCTGCATCCTACTGATGGAAGCGACAGCTTACCACTGGACGTCGTCCTCCCTCCCTTCACCAGCAACTGGGCGACGCTGCTCAAGATCGATGACAAGAAGGGAAGGATCGCTGAGGGCTGCGATGCTGATCTGGTCGTCCTGGAGGAGGCAGGAGAAGGAGTTTCTGTCTCGGACGTCATGGCCATGGGCGTTTGGCACGTGGTCGATGGGAAGGCTGTCGTCAAAGGGACGTTTGAGAGCTGAGGAGGAGTGAAGATGCGCTTGAAAGTTTTTCCCTCACGTTTTGTTTTCCTCCTGCTGAGCTCCGGCCGACTGCCCAGCTTTTGTTTCACCCTGTCTTATTATGTACTCTCTTTTTCCCCTGAGGCATGCTGATGTTGAAACTTGTTGTAACTTGTGTATTTGCTTGATCTTGGTTAAAACACATTCATTCAAGTGATGAGATTGAAGAGCAGAAGACAAGGAGAGCGAGGAAGAGATTATTAACAATGTTTTCACAGAGGATTAAAAGAGGAGGGAGAATTGAGATACCAACATTTAGTTGGTACATAATGTGAAGAATTAGAATGAAGTGCAGCATTAGGAGGCGAGGAAAAAGGGAGGGAAAGAGGAGGAACCCAAAGAAAAACGAGAAGGAAAGTGGAGGAAAAGGTGGAGGAAAAGAATGATACTCATGTAGATCTCAGACGTTGTGTGAAGTATCCCTTCCTTTCTTGATCGACATTTCCATGTAGTAGTGCAGAGAAAAGTGGTAAAGAGAGGGAGGACAACGGAAGAAACGCACAAGAACTTTATTCCTTCAGGCTGGAAAGATTCTCCATCAGGCTTGGGACGCGAATCTTTCCTTTCTCGTTGAAGTTGAGGGCCTGTGATATCCCATCACATCCCCACTTCCCCCCCTTCCCCATCTCCTCTAACTTCTCACGCCTCCCTCTTCCTTTCCGTCCTCTACTTCTTTCTCCCTCCCTTTCCCCCCCCCCCCGCCTCCTTTCTCCCTGCTCATCGCACTCTCCTTACCTCACAAAACCTCTCGAGCTCCTCCTTGCTTCCCAGCGTGCTGATCTCGCACTTGCTTCCATCCTCCGACTCCTCCAGCTTCACCTGCCAACAAGTCATCAGCCCCTGGTACCCTCAACCCCCCAGCTCTCCTCCCAACCACCCCCCCGCTCTCCTCCCAACCATCGACATCACAGCACTAACCACCTTCCACCTCTTCTTCCTCCCTCTTCCCTACACCTCCCCTATATCAGCTCTCCTCACTTCAACAGTGACGTCCTTGGAGGCCTTGGCCCAGTAGTAGAAGCCCGCCAAGGGAGACGCGAGCGTCATGTACCAGTAGGGGGAAAACTCCGAAACCTAGTGGAACGTCAGCTCAAACTTCCCTTGCATACTGCAACCCCGTGGAATATCCAAACTCAAGTCTTCTTCTCTTTTACTCCTTCTTTCTTCCACTTTGTTCTTCTACTTCGAAGCCTCTCGACTCTCCTCCATATCACCCAAATCTTTCTTTCTCCTTCTCCTTCCCCTCCTCTTCCTTTTCCTCCTCTGGTTCAGCCCTCTCACCTCAACCAGAGGAAACTGGACGGTCAAGACAAGAGCCAAGCTCGCAAGACTGGAGAAACGATGAGCGGGAGGAAAGCACAGACATATAACGATGAGGGGGTTCCAAGGGATGGAGGAGAAGGGGCATCGGATGAGGATGTTGATGGTTACCTGAGGAATGTGCAGAAGCTGAGGAAGAACGCCTGGCCCTTGCTCTTCCTACTGGCTCGTCAGACCTCTCCTAGCCCCTTCATCGTCCTCTCACCCCATCGTCCCGCGGAAGGTGATGGTGCCCTGTGACGGCTCTGGCGCGAAGTTCATGGCGCGAAAGTAGGCCGTGATCTCCGCTGCTGTTTGACGAACCTGCACAATAAGAGGGCGAAGCGAAGGAGGGGAGAAGGCGGAGGAAAGGAGAGGAATAGGAGGAGGAGATTTCAGCACACACATGTTTTTGTTTGATATTGGCTCTCACCTCCTTCCCAGCTGACGGGCCCTTGGTCTCATAAACCTTATTGACGGGCTTGTACTCGACTGAGCGCTTGATCAGAGACCAGGCGCCTGGGAGGGAGATGAGGTAGAGGCCCAGGGTGGCGTAGTAGGACTCTTGCGCATACTCGGGTTTGAACTCCTTTGCCTTGCCTGCTGCATCTGCCGAGAGGAGGAGGAGGGAGTCTACATTAAGGTTCTGTAATAGCGATAAGTCCCCGCTGTTGCATGCGAGCAATGCAGCAGAGCGCAATACACTTGCTGGATAGCGTGATTGAGGGAGGAGGGCAAAGACAGAACGATTCAATCACAGCAGGAGGGTTCGAACACGCCATGGCACAACATCCTCTTTTTCTTCCTGCGCCTCAAGCTTGTCTCACCTGTACTGCCTGTGCGAGCGAGGGGAGGTCAGCATGTGCCCGCAAAGAAGTCAGGCCTGTCCTCCTGGAAGGGGGGGAGCCAGGAGAGACTGTGATGGAGCGGAGGGAGAGGGAGGGGGAGGGAGAGAGCACGAGAGCCTCTACTGTCGTCGCGCAGAGCAAGAGGAGATAACTTGCCGCACCACTTGCCATGGCCGCCTTAGAACACTACCCCACCTACTACCACCCTTCTTTTCCATACCCATGTCTGGGTGGGTCTAAGTAACAGGCTATCTTCATAGTATGACAGAGTCAAGTTGACCGTACTCACTGTCCTGCCTGTCGGACTCCGGGACTCGGCCCTTCAGGCTTCGGCCGGGCGCCGCAGCAGGCCGGGCCGCCCGCCGGGGCCGCGCGGTCACTCACGGTGATCGGACCCGTCGCCGCCGCCCGGGCCAGGGCCAGTGACGGACTGAGTTCGTGACGGAGGCCCTTCCTCGACCGAGTGAGAGTCACGAGTCCTCGGCCTGCCGCCGCGGCCGGGCCCCGGCGCGGCGGTGACCCGGTACTACGGGCCCCGCGGTACGGCCGGCGCGGCACTCACTGCCGCAGTGCCACGGCGGCCGCCCATGGCTCGGCGCCGATGATGGCCCGGGCGCCCGGCCATTCCCGGGGCCGGGCCGGCCGCCCGGCCCGGCGGGCTGCCGGGGCGGCCGTCACTGGGCCGCACTGGGCCTCAGCCGTGTGCTAAGGGGACTATATCACTGAGATCGCGAAATCAGGCTGCCATTCGGATTTCAGGCACTGACTGCTGACTCAAGCGGCCTAGTTGGTACCGGGTATCAGTTCATGATGGCAAAATTTGAACTTCCGAAACTTTCACAAACTGACTCAGTGACTCGTGACGACTTATCACGAAACAGTGCCGCACAGTGCTACTTTGAAAAATTCCCTGCCCCGCATCTCCAGTGGGTGGGCCAATGAGCCAGTCAATCAGGCGAGTACAGCGGTTCAGGTTAGCGTTTCCACAGCACAGAAGCGGACTTCTCTTAAGCTTGAGCCTCCTGTACTGATGTCAACTGAGTCAGCAGAACTTCCCGAACCACAACTGACTCATTTGACACTGGCAACTACAAGGCGCCGTCACATATGAACTCAGGACTCAACCTCCTCTCGACTCTCCTCACGCTCAAGCCATGAGACAGGATGCGCCTCAACATGCAGCAGCGCCATCACACGGCAGGCTTCTCCTCACCTCAATTAGGGCAGCTCACTTGCCCCTTGTCGCTCACAGAGCAGGCGAAAGTGAGGCGAGGAGGGGAGCTGTTGGCTGCATCGCCGAAGTACTCGGAGGCCTGTCAATCGTCACCATGATGATCGCGAATAAGCCAACACTAGCTGGCTCACCCATGCCGTCATGTTCTTGTGATAGTCAGTGATACCCATGGCTCCCTTCGCCCAATCGTCTTGAATCATCTTTTGTGCGTCTCAGAATGCAGAGATAGCATTTAAATATGAGAGAAGAAAAGGGAAGCTGGGAGATCAAGAGAACAAAGAGATAGATTCCAGCATCTTGACGCTTACCTCAAGGGAGGTGGTCATTGTTGCGTGAGATGTTTGTTGATCTGCTTCATACTCAAATCAGCTCCAAGTCCATTCTCAACACTTTGACGCAATTAGAAAACATTCTTTTGTCATGCCAAGATCAAAAAGTGGGTGAGTACATAATAAACCACGGCCCTCCTACCCACATTCTCAGCATAATGGACATCTATGTATGGATGTTTCAAAGTCCTGCGAAACCTTCCCGCTGACATCATTTCCGGCAGAGTGTGCAATGAACCAAGGCAATCTCGCATGCATTTCTATGATCATTCTCGCTCTCTGACACCCCTGCCCTCTTCTCTCTTGCTCCATCTTACCCTGGAGGTCGGCAAAGCTTCTGATCGTTGCGAACATTTTTCGCCGGACCGAAATATCTGGGTAAATTACTCAATAATGTAAGTAAATTAAGTCTGTAGAACAAAATTGGGCAGCAGGGCAAAGTTGGAGGGAGAGGAAGTGGGAGAGGAGGAAGAGGGAGAGGAGAAAGAGGAGGGAGAGGAGGGAGAAAGAGGACCAGAATATCGTCGAACAGTGAGCACATGAGGCAGGTATGGATGCTGATGTATGCTACTGTCATGCTTGCTCTGGGTGTAGTCAGGACAACGCACGCATAAGCTATCTGTGAATGAATGTCTTTTGAGGAGAAATAGTATCCCGACTTGTGGTTGGAATTGATAACACTTGGAATTGATAACACCCTCTCGACGCTAGTTGGGATACCCGTATCTTTACCTCATATCCGTACTGAAAGCTGAATCTCGAAATCCTTGATTTTTCTTGTGATTCAAATGCCGACGGGGTTGTACATTTTGGAAGGGAAAGGAGGCAAATGGTCGCCCCCGGCCGTGATCGTGCTGTTTGGATGGTTCGGAGCGCCTCAGAAGCACCTCCTCAAGTACGCCGAGATGTATCAGCATAAAACCTGTGGTGTGATTATTAGAACAACGGCTTCGTCCTCAGATATCATGCTGCGAAAGAAAGAAAACTTGGCTCGGCACGGGATGGAGGCGATTCGTCGGGCAGCTGCTGGGATAGAATCGTTGGGAGAGGAGGCCAGGGTCTACGTTCACTGCATATCCAATGGTGGGACCTTTCTCTGGGATGCAGTGAAAGACAAGATGATCAAAAGCTTGCAAAACCAAGAGCACAGCGCAGATCCAGATGCTGCTGTTTTGAGGCTCATTCACTCCCGGCTCGCAGGGGAGGTCAGCATGCAGCCGCAACATTCCTTGTATTGATCTGACTGCTCGGCCATTTCAGATTTTTGACTCGGCTCCCTGCTACATCAGCACAACCATTGGGTTGCGTGCGATCCGACTGACTGTACAGGGATTCATCCCCCGCCTCCTCGTTCAGCTTTTCTTCTTGCTTCATGTTCTTGTCGAATCTCTCTATATCATCCTCACTTTTCAGAAGCACATCCCGGAGGCTTGGTGGGATTCCCTCATACAGAATCCCATCCGTTGCAAGCAGCTCTTCCTTTACTCTGATGCCGACTCGCTACTGGACAGAGATCAACTTCAGCTGGTATGCTCTTATCCTCGCCTTTGCTGAAGGTTCTCCTGACTTTTATGGGAAGCTGATTGAGAGCCGTAGAGAGAACGGGGTCTCAGTGCAGGAGCGATTATTTCATGGAGCAGGGCATGTACAGCTTTTAAGGAACGACCCTCAGGAGTATACCAAGACTTGTTTGAAATTTTGTGGGTTGAAGTTTGACGAGGAGTGAGATTGTCGCTGCTTATGAGGTTATTTAATTTACATCGGAAAAGATAAAGGTCCAACACTATAATACATACACACAATGCTACGAAGAACAGATATCTTGTCAGGATGAGTCTCTGCAGGAGAACGCGAACAGGCAGTTGACTTTCTTTTCGTCCCGAATCATAGTTTCAAGCCTGCTGAATCAGGCTTTGTCTTGTCGGGGGTACACCAACCAGGAAGACCTCAGTTCCTCCATTTCCATTGCAGTCTTTCCTGCAGCTTTTCCTACTGATTTCTCCGACAGAATGTAACCAGCCTTTTTCTCAGCTGTCATGCTCTGAACGACCTTGTTCTTTAACAAGTTCGCGCGTGCAGCTGCAGCCCTTGTGATCATGCAGATTTGAGGTCGTGGCATCCTGCAGGAAGGGAAAGCGTCAATGAAGTACGTAGGAAATGGATTAATGAAGTGATCTTCGTTCTGAGCATCGAAAGAGGGGAGAGCTGTCTAATTCACTATCCCCTGGTTTGTTGTGAGATCCTCACAAATATTGTCCAAGGAACAACATCTACGTCGAAAGCACCCCATCTCCTAGCTAGATCTCGCAATCCCTTCTCGATTACACATCGATGCTATCGTCAAGTTATTTGACCTCCATGGTTGGTCTACGGATCTCTTCGTTCCTCCTGGATTCTCTTCTCATTGAATACAAAAATCCTCGTCCTTTGCTCCCCTGCTCTGCCCTGCATCTGTCATTCTCTTCCCCTGCTTGTGTCCTCCTTTCTCTTCCTCGCTTTCCCCTCGATCCCGTTCCACCCACCTAAGGGACCCTGAAAAACCTGCAGTACCCACCCTACACATACCTATGCCAAAAACAAAAAATTACCCTACCCCCTTCATGTGAAATAGCAATCTTGCGAAGGGGTACTTCTATGCTGAAAATGAATGGTATTCATGGCGTGAAAGTACCCTACCCTACATCTTATCTCTTCTTGGCCATCCTTGAGTACCCCCACCACCTTAAAATCTCATCCACCCCAAGTCGGGCAGTGGTGGAGCAATTTTGTATCTCCCCAACAGACCACCCTACCACCCCCAGAGTCTCCTAATTGTAACCTACTACGTACCGAAAACCCGTAAAAGCAAAATTTTGGTATACACCGGTACTTTCGACTACATTGAAACCCGTAGTTTTAATGAAAAGTACTGCGATTCGCTCCTGTACCCCTGTCATTTCATCCCCACACTGTACCCTACGACTTGTGATCCCCCAAGGTCCAATTTTACATTTCTGTGGATCCTTTGAAATTTATTTTCTATCAATTTCAAATTCAAGGATCAAAATCTTGCGGGAGTTAAACTCTGACCTGTAAATTGTAAAATGAAACCAACTCTTTTCGTGTAAGTAAGACTCATCTAATGTCACGCCCGACACTCTTGTTCCGGGTCACCCTGGGCAGGCGGCCGGGCGGCGCGCCGGGCAAGGAGGTTCTGATGAGACTCTGATCTTTCACTTAACTTTGAGTCACGAAAAGACTCACCTACTACCGGGGGCCAGGCTCACTGCCTGGCCGCCGAACCGGGCCCCGGCGGAGTCCGAGGCCCGGTTGAACACGGTCGGCTGAGAACTGAAGAGGAGACTTTACTCAAACTTGAAGTTAAGGGCCACGGTTTTTACTGAAAGATCAGTACTGTACGAGGCCCTGAGGACAATCCGATCGGACTGGCCGGGCGGCCCGAGACTCGGTCAACCGGACTCGGCCAGGCTGAGTCTATCACACCGTGTCACGTTCCGAGCCTACCGTACAAAGCTAGCGGCTACAGCCTACGGGTACGGTCCCGGCGCCGGGAAGTTCCGGGAGTCCGGCGGCCAGGCGGCCCGGCGGGCACTGCACGGTTCAAGTTCTGACTCCCGGCCGATCGGACCGTCCGAGGCGGCTGAGTCGGGCCGCGCCGCCGAGGGCCGAACTTGGAAGCCACCGTGTGACTCTGTGAGACGGTCGGCCGGGCCGGGGGCCAGTGAGTCCAGTGCCGCTCAACCGCCCCGGGCACACGGTGCCAGGCCCTCAGTCAAGCCTTGAAGTGACTGTGAAGTGCCCCCCGGCGCACCTCCGGCGACATTGCGAAAGCTGACCCGAGTCAGTTTTCGACTTAGTGACTCCGAGAGTCTGACCGCGGCGCCAGTGGCACTGGCTGATCGGATCCCACTGCCCGGCGGCCGGTGGCACGGTTCCCGGCGTAGGCCTTTTGGCAACTGAGTTACTAGTGACTTGTCTGCCCGGGCCGCTGGCAAAAGGAATATGGTTGATTAGGATGGCGAAACCTGTTGAATTTCAATCCGAAACGCTCCAAACCTTATTGTGAGGCAGCGAATTGAAAGATGCAGCATATTGTGCCCGACTATGAACTCATTGCAAGTTGTTTACAACTTGACCTGTTATGCCCTTTTGAATTTTCACGTGTGTTGCTGTCTTTTCGTTTTTCCTCGAATATTGCAATGTGAAAATAAGTCAGTTAATTCCAACACAGTCTTTCGTGAGGAAATCAAGATAAGCGAGACATCACGTGAAACTTTCAAATTGTTATCCCAACACAAGATTACAACCATTACCAGGTTCGAATATTCGCTCTGTGTTGCATCCACGTTGTACTCTCTTCATTTACAAACCAAATTACAAATATATGTAACAAACATTGAGTTGTCATATAACATTGAGTTGTCATATGCAGGCATTCAACTTCATCGCCTTTTCCCTGGAATCTTGCAAACCTTACGGCATTCTTTGAAGTCATAAGGCCGAAGATCATTGGCAGTAACTGTCCATACAGGATTCTTTCTGAATTTAGAGACCAAGAAGCTGTCATTTCTTCCATATGAGGCGCTTCGAGTAAATATTTCTCCATCATCATCGTGTTCGACAGTCATCGTTTCGCTGAATGATCCTCTACTCGGGCCATCCACTACATCAGTGTAGCACGTTGATACAGCAAGAACTTTGTCAAAGCTTCCGTGCGCTATCTCCTTCTTGTTGTTGTTCCTCTTGCTTCTCCCCAGCAGTCCTGTCCAACCTCCTCCTACCAAGCTCATGCTTATCACCGCGAACAGCGTCTCGATACCGAGCATTCTTCGTGACTTCTCCCCAAGCACTGGTAACCCCGTCGATTGACCTAAATATACCCCACCATCCTACACCCCTTACCACTTTTCTGGAACACCCCTTGTTTGTAGCCATTTGGGTACAATTTTATCTGTCCATAGGGGGTAGGGGGTCATTACGTCGATGTTTGGAAGGAAGCGGCTTTGTTATCATTTCGTTGTCTTGCCTCAAACTTGAAAGGATCATAAAAGAATTTCTGAAATATCCTGAGGCGGTCACGGAACTCCAAGACACTTTTTGTTTGAATCGGGTTTGTACCAGTTCGTGCCAAAACTAGTATCATGAGCTTCAAAATTGGTACTGATTCTAGGGTTTATAATTGTATAAAACACTCCCTTTGAGAAACGTGAAAAGAAATTTATCGAATCGATCTAAATTTAAACCCAATAACTATGTAAAAATCAAATTTTATCAGTGTTTCTGAAATAAGTTGCTTGATTTGGTTTGTTGTTAATTTGTACCAATAAATAAAGGGAAAAAAAGAATTCGAATGTCGCTGCAGTCCAAGTGTCATTTGCAGGGGTGGCCGCACATGGGGGGTTCGGAACATCTGGGTTGCCAACATCTCCTCTGTACCGGTGCACTCAAAAAGGTGGTAAATGTATGTCAAAACTACGGGTACATCACTACGAAGCAAGGAATTTGTCTCTCAAGGGGGGTAGGATCCATCAAGGGGGTATGATCAGGGTGGGGGTACAAGTAAGAGTATAAAAAGTGAGTGGCGGCAGAGATTCCGTTGTCGTTCCGCGGCCAGTGGTCGGGACATGCAGCGCACGGGCCATGTTGAGCGGTCTAAGCTCCATGGGCCGCCCGAGCGGCGAGAGGCTTGCCTCTGCGCAGGGTTGGAGGGCATACTGGTTTAGAGCTAGTGTTGCCTATGTCTGGTGTGCTAGTAGTCCTGCAGAATCCCCCCTGTTAGATCCCTGTGAGATCTGGAAAGGCGATGTGATAGCAGAAGTTACCGAGGCCATGGTGAGAGCATCTCAGATGCCTTAGAGTTGTGGTGTTCCTATGTAACTTCCCCCTCGACTGGCGCAACGATGGACCTGTGTTCTCAGGTTCTTTTCCTCTTCCTTTTGAGCTGCACACATTGATGGGGTGCAAAGCCGTTCAAGTCGGCACAGCTCATTCTTAGTGCGATAAGTCTCTCTATTCTGTTTGAATGCAGCGAAAATATCATATTCGAAAAAAATGAATCTTGTTTGTCAAGGCGTGTCTATGATACAAGGAGCTGATCAGAAGCCCCTACCCCAGAGCATCCCAATTGTCCTTGAATCTTCGATCATCTGTGAAGGATGCAGGATGAGGGGGGCTTGTTGACTGTATCTCCCTTCTCCGTTCAACTGAAGTCGGTGATGGTTTGGAGCCATGTTCCATGCCAGCCAGTCTCTGCCGCACCAGCGAAGATCCCTGCTTTGAGAGCCTTGACTCATCCTTGCGCTCTCCAGCAACCTTGCGGAAATCGCCTTAGCCCAAGGATTGAGAGCAAGAGAACTTTTTGCACCTTCTGTGTCGCTTGCATCTGCAGCCGCTTGTTGTACTCTTCCATCACGTCTGTCCTGCTTTTATCCTTGACCTGTCAGGACTAGTTAACGAAGCAAGGTCTTCACGTGAAGACTTGCCTGCGATCTCCGAGCCCCGCTTCGAGATTTCGATTGTAAATTGCTAGACGTTGAGCTTAGTTTCTCCTTTCTCAAGATCTGAGAGGTACGACATCAGCAGTCTGGGTCAAGTGCCGCGCTGTACCTTCTCTGCCACCTCTGCTGGGACTTGCCATGGAAGCGAGAGATCATCATCAGAATTGGACCCATCCTGTTGTGAAACAGGATGACTATCAAAACTTATCGAGAGCAGAGGTCACCTCTTCCCTTGAGATCCTTGTCGCAGACATTGTCTGAGGAGCAACAACCTGCGAGTGATCTTGCGAGCCCTTCACCGGCTGCACTTCCTCACCCAAGGCATTCACAAGCACTCCATCGACCATGAATAAGTCATGCTGCAAACAAAGATTCGAACAGAGGTCATATTGTACTCGAGCCCTTGCATCTGCTCACCTGCGAGTCGATGCTCGGCATCAACACCGAATCTTGCTTCACTCGTATTCTTCCCTTGCTGCACAAACAAGTCAAAAATTCCTCTTGTAATCTTCACAATACACAATCCAAGGACAAAAGGATCTACCTGTCAATTTCTTGCTCAATAAAGAATCCATCCTGAGTACAAGCTCAACACGAATACAACACGAGTTGTTGTTCACCGGTTTCTTCTTGATTGGACTTGGTCCTGATTCCTCAGTCAGTTGGCCCTCTTGCTGTTTCAATTCTTCTTCTTTTGCGATGATGCTCTAAATCACTCGTTACAAGGAAAGATCACAATTGAATTGATCCTGTTACCCGGTAGAAGTTGAGCTCTTCAAAATGCTCCTTCAGACCTGAGGAAACGATCTGACGAGACTGCATCGATTCACAATGCCGAACCTTCATCGTGCTTCACCGCATCACGTTTATCAACCACAATTGATCTAATCAAGAAATTCGTCAGTTCATCCATTATCAAGATTTCAAACACGGCAGCTTTACTGGTAAAAAGCCAGTTCCGAGTCGCTCCACTGTTGCGATGCATGCGGCATGGCCTTCTGCAGCATGTCGTCTTGCTCCATATCTTGGTAAACTGATTGGGCGGGAATGCCACATTCTTGCAGGAGAGCATCAGCTGCATTGAGGATCTCTTCGGGGTCAAGTTCGCTATCCATGGCTGAAGGTGGGTCTTGAGGTCCTTGGCTGCACGAAGCACTCTCATTCCGAGGAAAGAAGTCATCCAAGATGAGAGGCGGAGGGCGAGGAGGAGAGAATTCATGAGGACTGCAGTCATCGCCAACGTGGATGGATCTTAATGCCACGCTGTACACTCTCCGCGACAACTCATCCAAAGCATGGATCCAATCTTGAAAGTTGACTGGCTCACAAGACTCAGGAGGTGTCAGGACGACGGTCAAGGCGATAGTCGTCCCAGCTTCGACGGTAATGCAGCCTTGGTCAATCCCCTGCAGCTGGAATACCTGCGGGTGGACAAGCGGCCCGAGCACACGAACACGTCGGGCCTCCGGTCTGGCATCGTCACTAACACGAAGCAGCAGCTTGCGAGTCAAGCAGCGTTCCCTTGTGGAGCTTGTGTCTCTGAAGGTTACTTGTGCAGGAACGAAGTATATCGTTTCCTCCTCCTCCTCCTCCTCCTCTGCATGGCCTTCCCCCTCCCTCGTTCTCAACATTTTTTCACCATCGCCTCGATGTGTGGCATCGGACCTTCTTGCCGCTCAGTGTACGGTCCGGGCTGGGGGCGGGCCCGGCTGATCGGGGCCTCACACTGAGTTGACTCGTGACTGACTCGGCCCGGCCGCCGCGACGGTGCCACGGCCCGGCCCTGGTGGCCCCGGTGACCGTACCGTGTGGCGGCCACCGGCCGCGGGGCGGTGGCGGCACGGCGGCCCGGCATCCGACTGACTGAGTCCGACCAGCCTGAGGTCCGAGTCCGGGCCATACTGCGGCCAACGGTACCGTGGCACGGTGGGCACAACGGTGGGCCGTTGTAACCCCCCCCCCCCCCCCCCCCCCGATAGTCGGCCCCGGCGATTCGAGGCACGGTCGCCATCATCCCGCGGCAACTCAGTCACCGTGCACCGTCACCCGCGGCCGCGCCGTCCCGGCCCGGGAGCCGGCGCAGTCTGTCCAGCCTGACGGTGAGTCGAACCGAGCCTGCCTCCGTGTGATGATCGGCGGAGTGACTTACTAGTCGCCGGCCCGGGAACTTCCGAAGTTTGAACAGAAGTTTGAAACTTTCTGTCACGGCGGGCCGGCCCGGGGGCCGATCCGGCCCTGGCCCTGACTGATGGAGCGTACTGTCAGCGGCGTGCCAGTCAGATAGCGCCGAGCCTTAACATTGAAAAACTCTCCTGTAAACCAAGACGATTTACGTGGCAAGGCGGCCGATGTACTGTAGCGTGTGGGACGAAGAGGGGACTTTCCTAGCCGTCTTGCTAAGGTCCTCTCATGTCTGGATGCTTGGGTTTCACAATGATCCTAGCATACAGTCTATCTCCGAGTCCTGTGCTCCTCAATTCTGTTCAAGTTTGTGTGCATTAAACTCGGTCTTGAGCAAAAACTGTCTTGTTCAATCACAACTAAGGTCGATGTGATATCTGCGTGACTTTGGACTACGGTACCGTTGAAGCCCGTCTAACCTTGAAACTTGTATTCCGCTTACGGGCAGTCAACGCCTCAGTGAGCCCGGCCCGGAGCCGCTGAATGCCCCCGGCCGCCGGGCCGGGGCCCCGGCGGTCCGACGGGCCCGGGGGGGCGGTCACGTTCCGAAGTTCAACGGTCACAGTGTTTGCACTGCACCGTCTGGTGACTCAGGCTTCTGCTCAGTGAGAGTCAGGCCCCGGTGAGCCCGCCGGGTCAGCCTGCCTCACTGGACTCCGAATGATAGTAGCCTGACATAAGCGGCTATTCAGAAAGACACCGTGACAAAATGGCATACTACCAGTGACCAGCGGCTATTGTACCGTACGGTAGCCTCGAGTCCGAAGTTCGTTCTCGGCTTCGCCGTCGGAGCCTCGGAGGCAGCCAAGCCTCCCGGCGGGCCCGGCCGGGCGCCCGGCGTCGGACTCCCCGGAGTCCGGCGGCCGGGACTCTTCGCCGAGTCTGCGGCCTCAGTCGGCCCGCCGTCAGCCAGTCTCGGCCCGCCGTGGCTGACGGCGGACTCACGGCCGGGTCCGAGTCCAACCGGGCCGTGTCGCGGCACTCAGAACTTTCACCGTTCCGCCGCCTGTAGGCAACCTGGTTTAGGGTAACCAGTTCAAGCCTGTAAAGCCTCTCCGAGTCACTGGGTCAGCCGCGTGATCCAGATGAGGCATTGGTCCCATCCCCTCTCAAGATGTCGTAACTGTCGCATAAAATGATGTCTTCTCGTAGGTGCAATAGGCGCTTCAATGTAAAAGTAAACTTGTTTCCCTCATCGAAAAGACATGGTTTGGTTGCAACCGAAATAGAAACATAACCGCTAACGGCCGCATTGCCGTCAGCATTGAAATCTTTCCGTCATCACATCCTATGTTGGAACGCTTCATATTCGAAATAGCGTACTTTCACTTTCGTATGAATTGATAACTGATCTTTACTAAGTACCTGCTGTCCCCCAAATAGCTACCCTACCCTGTACCCTACCCTTCATCGTTCCCCATATCCTAAAGTTTGCGACGCCCTACCCTAACTACCACCCCTTCTGTATTTGAAAAGATATGGGTGAGATTTCCCTTACACCGGTACTTTGCAAGATAAAACAGAGGGTGTAATTTGACCCCTACCTACTCGAAATCACATTCCTCCAAAAATGAATCACCCCTACCCCTACAAAACAAGAAAGTACCCTACCCACAGGCCTAACCGATGGTCTTTGAAGGAGCAGGGACTCCCGCAACCCCTCATTTACGCTCCTTGACTGCCTGGACACCCACGAACACCGCTGTGACCCCATTCCTTCTCCTCCTGCTTGTCCTTGATCCTCTCCCTTCTACTCCTCATTCTCTCTGTCCTTCTCTCACACCCCCCATCGCCCTCCCGTAGACCTTGAAGACTTCTCTGAACAAGATGAGCTCCCCTCTGCATAAAGATGCATTCGACCAGTTCTTCGGAAGTTGTCCCTGCACCGCCCCAGTGTCGAACAAGCTCAATCTCATGACGGATTTTAGTATTTTCGAGACTTCTGATGAGTGGATAGATGACTTCGACCTCTTGAATCTTGTCCCGCATGGTCCTGATTGCAGATCTCCTGGCAAGAAAGAAAACACGGAGAAACCTTCGCAACCCATCGGAAGCCCTTCAGCCAACCTTTCACCGATGGATATAGATGATCAGATCATCTGCAGTCCAATCTCAAGAGAAAATTACAACCGGCCCATTATTTCGCCCACAGCGCGAGCCAACATGAACTTGGGTCCTATCAAAGGAAATTTCAAGCTTTGACACACGTCCACCAGCGTGTAAATAGACCCATGTTGTACTTCTATACAAAAAAGAAAACACATTCATTACAACTCATTTTCTAAGACAAACTCAGTACAACTCATCATCTTGTACTTTCTCTTCTCAAACAACCGCCAACCCATCCATTCGCAAGAATGAGTAGCAGAATGAAGCGTTCTAGATGCTCCTCTTCCTGATACGATATTCTCCATCAAATCTCAAAGTGATGAGAATCCATGCAATGTTTGTATCGTGCCTGTTGCCACTTGAAAGAGCAAAACCACAGAACTTCTTGCCTTGCCCCTTTCCACCTGCCAGCAAGTCAGACTTCTCCGTCATGGTCCAGCTGACTGTTACACCGACTCTTACCTCGCTCTCTCTCACCACTTGAGACTCATCGCCGCCTCCACTCCTCCTGCCTCGAGTACCTCCCTCTCCCCTTCCTCCTCCTTCACAAGATGTCCCAGCACCTCCAGGCCTGCTCGCTCAGTCTGCCGATCTATCCCCTCTCTTCGTATCGCTGCCACCACGGCCGAGACTCCTCCGGCTGCCCTGATCTCCGTCCGCCCTTCCTCCTCACGCGCGATAATCTCCAACAACCTCATTCCGGCTTCAAGGACGTCAGAGTTTGACTCGTGCTTCATCGCACTGAGAGCAGCCTCGACCCCTCCTGCAGCCTGGATTGCTCGCACACCCTCCTCCGATAGCAGTCGCAGCAGCGCAAGCCCGTGTTGCTGTATCTCTCTTTCCTCTGAGAACTTCCGCATGGCCGTCGCAGCCGCCTCGACCCCTCTTGCTGCTCGGATCTCCTTCCTTCCCTGCTCTGAGAGAGCGATTCTCTGGAGCAACTGAAGCCCTCCCTTCTGCACTTTTTTCTCGCCGCATTCGTACAAAACGCCGAGAATTCCGTCAGACAGTCGACGCTTTTGCGGCTGGTGTGCCTGTCCTCTTGCCAGCTGTCCCTTCATTGCCAGAAGCACAGTCTCCTGCCCCCTTGCTGCCAAGATCTCTCTCCGCCCCTCCTCTTCCTCTGACATTGTTACAAGCAGTTGAAGCCCTAGTTCCATGATCCTAATGTCTGCCCTGTGTTCTCTCATGGCAGCCAGCACTACCTCCACCCCTCCTGCTAGTCGGATCCTCCTGCCTTGATCTTGCATCTTACTGGCCATGCCATACAGCACAGCAAGCCCGGCCTCCTGCAAGACCCCGTTGCCCCTGCACTCTCGCATGCCTCCCGTGACAGCGAGAACGTCGTCCTCGGATCGGTTCCTCTCGTCGGTTGCCAGGCTACTGAGGAGCTTGAAGGCGTTTTGAGACGCGAAAAAGCTGGCCAAGATATCCAGGTAACAAGGCAACCACACATCAACAGCTCCAGCCTCGCGCATCTCACTTCGCGCTTGATCGTCGCTTGATATCTTTGCAAGCAAGTCCAGCCCTCGACCTCGATGACTCTGATCATTCAAAAGTTGTAAGATCTTGGCCACTGCCACTCTGCCCCCTCCCCCAGTAGCTAGCACCTCTCTCCACCCCTCTCGGTTAAGCAACAGGTCTCCAATCAAACCCATCCCCAAATTGTTACTTCCGCGTGAAAGCTCCAGTTTGAGCATCGCCGAAACCGCTGCCCTCACTCCCTTCTGCGCGTAGATCTCCTTACGTCCTTGGGCATCCTTTGACATGTTCTCCAGAAATTCGATTCCTGACCGGTAAGTGTCTTTGTACAGATCCGAGTGTTGCTGCAATATGTCGATTACTCCTTTGACGCCTCCTCCGGCAAGGATCTGCTGCCGCCCCTCCTCGCATTTGGAGAATGAAGCAAGCAACTCAAAGCTTCTTCTCTGGACCGTTGGTTCATCTTTGAACTTCATGATTGCCTTCACTACTGTCTCCACCACTTGTGCTGCTTTCAGAGCTCTCAGCCCAACCCGATTAATATCAAGGTAGTCGTAGTTGTACAGCTCCTTCAACCCTGCTCGCTGCACTGCCAGGTCTCGAGGATGCTCACGCATGGCTCCGAACGCTGCCTTTACAAACTCAGCTTGCTCGAAGACATTCATCTCTATCTCGCTCCTGATAACTTCAGCCATCCACCATAAGTCCCCTGCCGGTCGGTTCCTTTCGTCACTTGCAAGGCAGCTCAGCAGCAGTAGAGCTGCCCGCCTCTCATCTTCATGGTCGTAATCTAGTGCCTCCAGAGCTATCTCCACCCCTCCGGCCTCCTTGATCTCCCTCCGCCCCTCCTCCTCCTCCAACAGCATCCCCAGTACCTTCAGCCCCGCTAGCCTCACCTCCTCCTCCCCCATAAGCTCCCGCATGGCCTTCATCACCACCTCCACCCCTCCCCCTCTCCGCATCCTCTCCCGCTCCCTCTCCTTCCTCAGCAGCTTCGAGAGAGCCATGATCCCTGCTCGTTGAATGTCGACATCCGTGCTGTGGTCCCGTATGGCTCCCAGGACCAGCTCGACTCCTCCTGCTGCGCAGACCTTCCCCTCACTGTCAGTGTCATCTACTTTCTCTACCATTGTCTGCAGCCCTGCCCACTGCACCTGACCGTCTGCTGTGTACTCGCGCATGGCATCGAGCACCGCCTCAAAATTGGATCCATGCCTAATACTCGTTCTGGTGGTGAAAAACTTCAGAAGACTGGGAGAATGATGATTCGAAACATTTTGCTGCGAGTTGTTCAACGGGTCCTGGAGCGCATTCGATGCTGCCTCGACAACAACTGCTTCCACTACCTTCCTGCATGCTTCTTTATCTTCGCAGATCTTCATAAGCGAGTCCAGAGCAATATCCCGCCTCGTTCCATTTTGATCAGGATGCATGAAAACCTTTGCAACCGTCTCTATCCCCCCGGCTGCCACAAATGCTCTCTGCCCCTCCTTCGCTTGCAAGATTTTTTCAAGACTACAGAGTATTGAAATTCCTTGATCATAAAGAGGAGATGTGTTCATCTCGCATGTTACCCCTACAGTACTGATCACTGCCCTCAGCAGCCCTGATCTAAACAGCTCTTCTATCTTCACCTCTGGTGCGTCGAAGAGTGTAGATAACAAACAACACCCCCACCACTCCTTGTAAAGGACATCTCCATGGGCATGCATGGTTTCAGCCATCAACTCCAGCCCCCCTGCTGCAAGAACCTCCCTCCGTCCATCCATGGTCCACGATATCGCATTCAGTACCTCTAGTCCTGCCAACACCACCCTCCGGTCTCCCTGGAATTCCCGCAAACATCGTATGAGCATCTCTACCTCTCCACCTGTCCGCATCTTGTTCTCCGTGACAAGGTAGCTCAGAGCAAACAAGGCCTCTTGCATGTCCTTTGAAGAGCCGCTGGACTTGTTGCAGGGCTCTAAGCACCTGACGAATGCCTCCACCCCTCCAGCCTCCTTGATCTCCCTCCGCCCCTCCTCCTCCTCCAACAGCATCCCCAGTACCTTCAGCCCCGCTAGCCTCACCTCCTCCTCCCCCATAAGCTCCCGCATGGCCTTCATCACCACCTCCACCCCTCCCCCTCTCCGCATCCTCTCCCGCTCCCTCTCCTTCCTCAGCAGCTTCGAGAGAGCCATGAGCCCTGCTCGTTGAATGTCGACATCCGTGCTGTGGTCACGTATGGCTCCCAGGACCAGCTCGACTCCTCCTGCTGCGCAAGCTCTCTTCAGCCCTTCTCCTTCCAGCACCATCATGCCTAACGCCGTCAGCCCGGTCTCTACCACATCTCTATCAGTCCGGTGCTCGCTGAGACAGCTTGTCACTTCCTCCACCCCTCCGGCTGTCAGGATCTCCCTTCGTGCTCGCTCACTGCGCAAGATAGGCCCGAGCAGCTGCAGCTTATCTTGCTCAAGCTTCCATGAAGCCTTGTATGCTCTCACGGCATGCTTGCTGGGGTATTTGATTGTCTCGACGTATCCGAGCAGCTGCAAAAGCACTTCCATCCCTGCTTCTTGCAGCCTCCCGTTCTTCTTGTGCTCCCTCATGGCCCCCATCACAACGGCTACACCCCCGTCCTTGAGGAGCTCCTCCTTCTCCTCCTTCTTCCATTCGTAAATAGCCAGTAGCTTCAGCCCGGCTCTCAGCACCCTCTGATCACACCCGCACTGCCGCATGGCCACTAGCACTGCCTTGACTTTCTCCTTGGCACCATCGATCTTAATGCTCGACCTTGGGATGTAGACCTTTACAATCCTATAGTCTGCATGAATGCCAAGAGCTGCCTCCAGAGCTTTCAGAGCTGCTGACGCATCCGCTGCCGGAGACAAGGACCCTGGCGCCTGCACAAGGGTCCCTACTGCAGGAGGTTGAGCTATCCCAAGCGAGAAATCTACCCTCTCGCTGCCTTCAACTCCGGTTTCTGCTGCGTTGCCCTTCACCTGCGATCCCTCCCATCATACCTCACAGCCTGAGATGCTCAGTCTACAGACCTTCTTAATCGGTCGCTCGAGGGTTTCGCTCGAGCCAGTCGCTGATGCATCTGGTGATTCTCCTCCATCTCCAATTGCTGCTGCTGCCGATCTTCGGCTGCCCGCAAAGGCATTAAGGAGTGACTTGGATTCTTCCGTCTGTTGTGATTTCAGCATGAGGCATGTATAGGAGTTAAGAGAGCACGTGCATCATGTTTCATGACATACCATGTTTTTATCAGCGAGATTTGAGCAGGATCGATTATAATGTTGTGATGCTGAGCTGTCTTCGAGAAGCCTGAACTGCGCATGTGACCGCACCTGAGCCTCGTTCCTCAGGGCCTCGTCCCCACAGCCTCCGACTCGCCGACGCAATCTTCTGCGCCGTACGGTCCCTCGCCCCAGCCCGACCCGCAGCCTTCCAAGTTCCCGGATGCGTCCATGCCGGACCAGCCATTATCCCGAGCCCAGGACGTGCTGATGGAGGGCCTGGAGGATGCGGGGCCGGCGGGTTGTGCTCGCCGCGAGTCGGGAGCCCACATTCTGCGCGCCGCGGCACTGGAGTCACGATCATCGGATAGCAGGCAGTCTGAATAAGAAATATTCTGTCAGCGTGAGGGACAAGCAGGCAAGGGAGCCGCTCCGCGGGGGGGGCCGGGGGGGGCTGTTAGGACTCGCGCCATGCCGAGCCTCCGGGAGAAGGGAGGGTGTAGCAACTTTCGCTCCTTTCTCCTGTTGCCATGTTGGGTTTGTCACAGCCTGTGAGGATGAACATCATGGCATCGTAACTGGAAGAGAGCAGCAACAGCCTGGTCCGACTGGCAACAGACAGCACATGAAGAGAGGCATAGTGAGAGTTTCAAGATGCGACAATGGGGAACGAGTTTGTCGGAGAACTGGGCCCTGGGGCTGATTTCTACTCTCCGATACCTCACCTTTTCAATGGGAAATCATCGGTTTTGACTGGCATCCAACATCGTTTCGGTGGGGGGACAGGATATGCTTCACGACTGCTGACATCTTGTCGGCGAGGCGGGCTTAACAGGACTTCGTAATAAAGACGAGACCAGGCATAATAAAGAACGAGTCATGAAAGAAGTGGGTAATGACTCTACTGTCAGTGTTGTGCAATGTTGACATCGGTTGCGACTTTCATCACCACGAAGCTGTGCATGACTGAAAGACTTGCACAGCTTCAGCATGGGGATTGTAGTGAGATCCTTCAGAGTGTATAATAGGATAAGGAATTTCGTACCGAAAGGGAGAAGTAAAGGGAAGGAAGGCACGCGGATGAAAGCAATTGTGTTGTGCAAAAGTGGTTTCTTCCTGGCAAGTCTTTTTTTTCATCTTTGATTATTCTTAATGGAATGATTGAAACGTCTACACGAGAATCTATGCTCGTATCTTCACAAACTGCATGCAGCTGATAACTTCTGGCATCCTTGTGAGATTTTAACCTCCTCGCCTCCAGACCTTCTGGAAATACTTCTGCGCATGTGACCGCACCTGAGCCTCGTTCCTCGTCCCCACAGCCTCCGCAATCTTCTGCGCCGTCCCTCGCCCCAGCCCGACCCGCAGCCTTCCCGCCGCATCCTCCATGCCGGACCAGCCGTTATCCAGGACGTGCTGATGGAGGGCCTGGAGGAAGCGGGTGTGCTCGTCGGGAGCCCACATTCTGCGAGCGATGTGATCCTGGAGAGGTGAAGGCGACGACGGCAAGGAGAGACAAGGGGATAACGGGGAGGAGACTGAAGAGCTGTCATGCGTGTTGTCTTCGCCGCCTGCCCTCTCTTCGCTGGAAGAGCAGGGCAGATTGTAACAAGGATGAACATCGAGAGGGAATAGAGCAGCAACAGCCTGATCCACAGAAAGGGAGGAGGACGCAAACGACATGGTGGAGAGAATTGCGAGGGCGATCGAATGGAATGAGAAGCAAAGAGACCCTGCGAGGAGCAGTGGAACAAGCGACGGGACTGGGAGCAAATGCTTTAAAAAGAGGGGCAGGGGGGAGAATCTGCCCCCTGAGAACTCGTTATTTCGATGGGAGACGAGTGGGCTGACAGTGTACGGTTCACGGTTGGCACCCGAGTACGGTCAACCCACATCGCTTGGACGGGGGAAGGATACAGTTAAAGACTGTTTACGTGACTTGGCTGACACTGAGAGCTTGAGCAGCTTAAAGTGTATCGGCGTCGGCGTGAGCGTCACCGCCGGTGAGTAGTAGGATTATACTAACTGTACTGATTTTTAACTTTACTAAGACAACTATGTACTACACCGGGCTGTTCCGCCGCCGGGCCGGGCGGCCGGCTACGCCGCAGTGAGCCGGGCCGCGCCAGCTCACTGAGCGCCCGGCCCCGCCCACTCAAGGTTGCCGGCCGCCGGGTGCGGTGGGCCCGGGGCGAGTCAATCCGGCCCGGTCGTCACTGCGGCCCGGCCCGGGAGGCCTTGAGCTGACGAAAGATCCTGGACCGGATGCGTTTGCAAGTCGGATCACCTGAGACGTCTTCAGTGCGAGGCCGAGAGACCATCCAGCGCTGCCGGCAAGTTTCCTTCAAGGCTTGTTCGCCGAGCGATCCGCCAGCCACCACTGCTCCCCTCCTTCGAGTCTCCCCCCAATCCCATCACGTCCACCACGCTCTCGTACAGCAAGTCGTACTTGAAGGCTTCCTGGTACTCCTCGAGCGTCCACGAGCATACTTTCAGTTCTTTGGCCTTTTCCTCAAGATCTTCCCCAAAATGCTTCATTCTTCGAGAGCTCATCGATGTTGTGATAACAAGTCGCCGATTCTCCCAGTCACCATGGCGCCATAGCAGACATACACTGTACAAGTCTTCATGTACTTGTGTCCCCTCCACAAACCCATCCAAGGACAGAAAATACTTATGACTCTCCCCCGCCCATGCTTCAAGAACATTCTCAAGAAAGACGGCTGCCTTTTTAGCATTTGCCTCACACTTTTTCTGTACATCGCCATCAACCTGGTAGATACTGACAATCCCCGATTTCCGGATCCGTACGCACATCGTCCGCCATCCTGCCTCCGTGCTCAGTGATTGCATGAAGGACATGGTCGTCATCGTCTTTCCCGTCCCCGGAGTGCCTAGGATCCATCCCAAACATCCTTCCTTGCACACTTGTTCCTCGAGGAAGCCCCACTGCAAATTGAAGTCTTCCCTGCAGTAGAGCCAACATAGCTCTGCTTGCCCAGAGCTGTTTGGTATCAGCAACGACCGATCCAGACAGAATAGTTTGCCCCCCTCCTTATGGCCCAGTCGCCTTCGATCCAATTTTGTCTCTGTCCAGCGTACGCTTGTCTCCACAGTCCTTTCACGGCCTTCACGCATCTTGTGCGCATTCTGCAATTCCCTGAGGAGTTGTTCCAAACGACGATTCTCTGCTGCTTGAAGGCTTTGCCACTGTTCGTGCAGGTTCTCCCTCTCCTTGTGCAGGTTCTCCCTCTCCTTGTGCAGGTTCTCCCTCTCCTTGTGCAGGTTCTCCTGCTTGTTGTGCAGGTTCTCCCTCTCCTTGTGCAGGTTCTCCTGCTTCTTTCCGAGTTTTTCTTTATCTGCTAGTATTTGGTTTTTTCTCTCCTCCAGATTCATCTGTATGGCCCTCCAGTACTCTCTGTTAGCCCCTTCCTCAACAAGCTTCAGCGCGGCCTCAGCCTTCCTCTGCATAAGTTCCTTAAGCTCTGTTTGAAGGTTCTCCTCCTGCGTCTCCAGGTTTTCCTCCTGCGTCTGAAGGTTCTCCTCCTGCGTCTGAAGGTTCTCCTCCTGCGTCTGAAGGTTTTCCTCCTGCGTCTGAACGGTAGGTTTTCCTTCTGCGTCTCAAGGTTTTCTTCATGTCGTCTTCGCTTCGCCATAGCAGTTTGTCGCTGGCCGGGGCCACCTACTGGACCCGGCGCCGGGACTCAGGGACTGAGTCATCATGGCAGCAGGTCCGGGCCCGGAGCCGGGCGACCCCCGGCCCCGCCGGGGCGTGACCTGGTGGACTCCGTGTGAGTGTGCCACTCGGGCCCTCAGCCGAGCTTTACTCAGGAGCGCTGAGGGCCGGCCAGCGGGGAAACCCTGACATCCGGGCCCCGGCCATCCACCATGATGGCCGGGCACTGGGGCCTCATTGCCAGTGACCGGCATCGGCCGCCACTCAGCCTGGCAGTGACTGCTTGAAGTCTTCAATGACTTTTACTCAACTTGGCAAAGTGAGAACAATTCCATTAGCTCGCTTGGTTTCCGCTTCATGCTGTCGGGTGGGTGATGCGACTCATCGTCATCGCCACCTTGGCGATGGCGATCGCGACGCCAAGGGAGCATGGAAACATGCTAAGTTCCTCCCTTCTCCCTCCCTCCTCCCTCTCTTCTCCCTCCTCCTCCTCCTCCTCCTCCTCCTTCTCCTCCTCCTCCTCTCTTCCTCAGTTCATGGCATCTCGCTCCAGACTTATGCCACCTGGAAGGGCGCTTCTGCATGTTCTGAGGGGAGGACGTGGCGGAGATGGCAGGAGTCCTGCTAAGGCGATTCGATGGGATGATGAGGGGATGCTCGAGTTCGATAGGCAACTCAAGGACTGCGGGGCGGATGAGGTGGAGATAACGGAACCAGACACGCCATATCCTGGGTCAGACCTCTCTCACTCGTTATCTTTGCCCTCCATCTTCCATGTCTCTGCTCTGTCTCTCCTGCTCTCTCCTCTCCCAGACCCTGACGGCCATTCACGACGTGCAGGTCTCCGCGTTCTTCAAGTGATGTCGGATGTGACGAGCATGACTTGCTCTATGTCCCCAACATGACCTTTGTGACGGGTATGTGAAGTAACATCCTTGTGCTGGCACTCTGACCTCCTCTTCCTCTTCCTCTTCCTCTTCCTCTTCCTCTTCCTCTTCCTCTTCCTCTTCCTCTTCCTCTTCCTCTTCCTCTTCCTCTTCCTCTTCCTCTTCCTCTTCCTCTTCCTCTTCTGTGTACTTTCTCTCCCAATTTCCTTCCCTCCCTCCTCCTTCCCTCTATCCTTTCGTCCTTCGTGCTCTCCTTCTATTGTACCTCCCAACACCTGCACCCCTCCTATCTCTTTGTTTGTCCCTTCTCGTACTTCCCTTTCCCTCTACCATCAGTTGAGAATGGAGGGAATTCGAATCAATCGAAATCACCAAAACTCATCAAACGGAAACAAAAACCAAAGTGAATGCGCACTTCTGACAAGATTCCGTCGGTAATGTTTGCAATGACGCGCAGAGACGAATCGAGTTCATCGCATGTTGTGAACAAGTGGAACAGTGATATCCATAAAATGATATCGCAGATCTGCATCGATCCAGAGCAGGTAGGGGAGGAGGAGGAAAAGGCAGCGGAGGAGTTGAAGGCGGAAGGGGAGGTAGAGGGGGAGGGGGAGGAGAGGAAGGGGAGGAGAAGAAGGAGAGGGAGAGGAGGAGGGAAAAGGAGCACAAGAAGCATCTGAGTGAGCTCAAACAGTCCCAACGTCATGAGAATCTGGTGGACACTTTGCAGAAGTTGGCAAAGAAGTCGTTCGGGAAAGGTTGCCGACAGCAGCTAGTGAGCTGGGCTGAGAGTTTTACAGCTGCAAGGATGAAGATGTTTGGTTCCGCCGCTGCTGGTGCTGAGGGTGGAGGTTGAGAGCTGGGCAAGAGCTGATGCTGGTGCTGGGCAGGATTGTGTACGGTGGAGAGCGATCTCGATGTTTGCCTGTCTCTGGGGAGCAGGTGGGAGATGAAGATTAGCGACAAGAAGAGGTAAGGGGTTGAAAGAGCCGCAAGTGCGAAGGTTGTAAGAGCGTGACGTGTTTGATCAGCACAGAGAAAGGGGAGGATCTGCACAAGGATGTCTGGCGCCAAGAAAAGATCGACATGTAACGGGGATCTGATGGAGACGATGCTGTTTCATGTTCATTCGAACCGCAGTCTGCGCGTCTTCGAGCGAAAGATAAGGAGATTCCTGAACTTCAAGACGACTTGTATCTTTGGAGCACGATTCCCCATCGTCACTGTCAGAGATGGTGCAAGGAAGCGACTGGTTCTAATCAAGGGTTATGACTTGGAATGTTTCAGATGAGGGCACGTGCGTCGACATCAGCGTGCAATCTCGACAAAACTTTGGAAGGTTTGACCTGAATGCTTTCTTGTTTCCATCATGTTTGCATTGCCACTGAGACAACCTTCAACAAGGTTGGTCGCCAGACTGTTGAAACTGTACACAAGAGATGAGAAAGTCAGGAAGATTGTACGAATTAATCTCTTGGCGCCTCCAGCTTGTCACAGCATGGCAGATGTTGTTTGTGAAAGTATGGAGCAAGCGGAGATCCATCAACCAGGCTCAAGACAACCCTAGCATGCCATGGCAAAGAGTGATTTTCCGCCAGGCCTTTGAGGGGACTCTAAACTCTTTCTCCTTGTCGCTCCTTCTCATCTATCATCTAATGAGGATGAAGGTGAGACGGAACTCTTATCTCCCGCGTCTGCTGACTTGTCTTCTTCTCACTAGATGGTTCCTGATGTCTTCGCAAGAGAAGGAGGTCAGACTTGTCTCAACTACAGTCAGAGTCGCCGCTGAGATGCTCACAGACGACGAGCCTCCACTTGCTGTGTTGAGATGCGCCGATGGGGTGAGTTGCTGGGGCGCCAGTGGTAGTAGACTAAGAGCTGACCTGACAGATTTTCCGGCCTGTCTGGTTTCAAACGGACGAGGCGAAACTTGCTAAGGTGCGCGATAGGGGATAAGGAAATCATATGTGATTCATTGCATCGTTTCTACTCCCATCACCGTCCTGATTTATCGCTGCGAGCCCTGATCACTGCTCTCGTCTGAAGGACCGAGATCCCTTCAAATCTCCTCCTTTCTGTCTGTTTGCATCCTCCCATGATATATCCTCTTCCATTCCTTGCTTTCTGTAACCTTCCCTCTTGATGAACCTTCAATCATTTGTTTATTTTCTCCTTCTAATTGGTCTTTCCTCATACTCTCTGTGACATGGCAGGATACTCTGCGACAAAACTTCGACATCGCGGAGATTCTTTGCAAATTCTTCAGATACTTTGCGCTTGTGAGTAGAAAAAGATTTCAAGGAATTCTCAGGTGAAACTTCTGAGCAGGAGCATGATTGGAGCAAGAGAATCTCAATAAGAGAAGATGTTGTACAGCCAGACAACGAAGTTAGCAAAGATTATGTGAGAGTCCTATCTCATTCCCCTTCTGTCCTGTCCTGTCCTGTCCTGTCCTGTCCTGTCCTGTCCTGTCCTGTCCTGTCCTGTCCTGCTGTCTTTCTGTCCTCTGTCCTCTATCCCCTCGCTCGCTCACTCGTTACCCTCACTCTCCACAGGTGTTGTGGGTTGCGGATCCTCTTGACATTTCAAACAATGCGGCTCGTTGTGTCGACGAGGAAGGTCCGTTAGTGGAGAAGAGGAAGAGGAGAGAAGAGGGGGAAGACGAGGAGAGGGGGAGGGAGGAGAGGGAGAGGAGGGGAGGAGGGGATGTATGGAGAACGGGAGTTGGATGAAGTCTGAGGTTGTAGGACAGGTCTTGAAAGAATCCGCTCGGAATTCAAGAGGGCATCCGCAATTTTTGAGAAGTAAGCATGAGGAGGAGGAGGAGTGGCAATCGTTGACAATTGACTGCAGGAGAGAAGGCCTAGAAGAGATCTGGAAGGTACGTGGAGAGGAGGGAGGTATGGAGCGCTGAACGCTGTGCAGCCACTTGGGAATAAGGAAAGGAAGAGACTGGCGAGGCGACTGGAAGAGAAGAGGAGGACGAGGAAGAAGAGGAGGAGGTCTTGAAAGCAAGCGTATCAAAATGTCTTCCATAAGTCTGGAACGTCTTGCATGTCCGTCTTGCCGCCCATCAACATCTTGACCACGCCTCCTCTGTGTGAAAACGATCACGAGGAAGGGAAAGGAAGGGAAGAAAAGGGAGGAGGATGAGTGGGAGTGGGATGGGGGGAGGAGGAACAGAAAGAAAGGAGGGGGAGGGGGAACAGAAAGAAAGGAGGGGGAGGGGAGGGACAGGGGAACGGGGTGAATGAGACAAGGAGGTTACCTTTCCTTCCCGAACTTTTGCTTCATCTCCTCGTTGACTCTGCGAGCATTTCGATTCTGTTCTCTCTTGCTCCACAAGATTTTAGCCTGCTCGCAATCAGAAGACAATGGAGAGACGTTCTCCACAACCTCTCGCAGCAACGACTTCATCTCCTCCGTCTCCTCCAGGTTGCGGCTCTTTGCTTGCTGTTGGATCATAAAGACTCTGTCGAGATCTTCGTCGCTTCCTCCTTCTCCCCCAGGATCGTCTCCTTTCTCCCACGCCTCCCTCATCGCCACGAGCATCCATGCGCTGAAAACGTCGGGGTCTGCTCTGAGATTGAAATCAAAGTGAATTGTTCAACACTCGAGGTCCTCCTGCACCACCACCACCTCCTCCTCCTCCTTCACTGTTATCGCCTCTTCCTCCTCTTCCCTTCCCCGCCCTGCCCCACCCTCCTCATCTTCTTGGACTACATCAATTACAGTAACAGTTCTTACTTCACATCGCTGAAGGCACCGAAGTTATCAATGAGATGCTCTGCTTGCACAGACACGTTCTGCCTCGTGGCCGATGCCAATTTCAGGGATCCTATGTTCTCTGCCATGCATCGGAGCAGGAGGACAAGACATTTTGAGTTGGGTCGAAGGGAGGACAGCCACTTGTGTCTAGGGGAGGAGGAAGGGATGGAGAGACGGGGAGAGATAGGCAGCACGACAGATATAGTGCGGGGGGTGGGCGGGGAGAGGAGGGGCAGAGGAAGGGGGAAGGAGCAAGAGCAGGAGAGCAAGAGAGCAGAAGAGGGAAAGAGAGCATGAGTCAAGGTGGATTGAAGGAGTCAGGAAAGTGAGAGAGAAGAGACGGGAGGAGGAGGAGTACCAGGAGTCGAGAAGAAAGGATCGAGAAGAGGAAAAGAAACGACCAGAGGCAGAGTCAGCGAGGCAGAGCACACCATGGCAGACTTACGAGGTGAGAAAGTTCTGTGACGAGGCCTGCAAAGAAGGATGAGAAGCAACTCTATAGAAGGGAGGCAGGCAGGCAGGCAGGCAGAGCGGAGCAGGAAGGAGGGGAGGAGAATATGTTGTCTAGTTGTTTTCACCTTCCCGATGGTGCTAGTCGTGTAGACCCTTGAGGAGAACATGGTCAGGCAGCGAAGTTGCGGACAGCAAAGAAGAAGGAAGGAGAACAGCCGACTACGAGCCATGGTCTCGATCAAAAGCATTACCATCGAAGAAGACAAGAGATGCGATCAACTCAAGAAAGACATCTCATGTTTGGACAGGCAGGCAGGAAGAAAGGCAAGCTGACTGACATATGGATTGACTGACAGATTGACTGACAGATTGATAGAATAAGAGATTGAAAGTTTGACAGACTGACAGAACAGCAGACAGCATGACTGAAACAACACGAAAACAATCATACGATCCAAGAAGCGAGGACAAACATCTCAATCTCCTCAACATCTTCACTCACGAATTCTCCATCCTAAACTGCCATGAGTCAACCATGGCCAGGAGGCGCTCGACGTCCCACAAGATCAAGCCGGTTGTCTTGCTAGCTGCCACCATCAAACACTCTCAGAGACAGAGCAGAGCAGCAACCGGCTGCTCTACCAGCGAACGCCGAGAGGCAGATCGCTTCCAAGGTCCCCACGTCCGCCTTAACTTTGTGCTTAGGAAATTCGTGCACATACCTGGAGGCAAGTCAGCACTCCTCCTCCTCCTCCTCCTCCTCCTCTCCCGAGCAAGCACGGACTTTTCTACGATGGCCGAGTCCTCTTTGCAATGCCAGAGCGCCTGCGCAGCCGCACCCAACATCAGGGCCGCCTGTCTGTGGGAACAAGGAGAAGGGTTTTCATACGTGGGCTGCTATCTCCAGCACCAGGTTCAACGACGTCGTCTGCAAGACGTTCAGAGCAGCTATAACAGGGCCTGAGTGCTGGCTACTGACATCCAGCTCTATCGCTGGCCTGCCTGCTCCAACGGGGGCTGGGGAGGGCGGGTCAGGCTGTGGTTCTTAGGAGGACTCGATGGAGGGGGGAGCAAGGTGCAGAAACAAGGCACGAACAACTCACGTGACCATTCCTTGTACGGTATCCTTCCTATCATCGCTTCTGCCTGTGTCAACGCTCACTCTATTTGAATGAATACAATATCACATGGCATTTGTTCTTGAGCTAACACAAACAACACAAGGATCAAACACATCACAATCATCGGACACAAGTTGTCATTCCTGTCTGTAGGGAGCATCTGCGTTGATAACATGATCCTTGGTCATCGTAAAATACTCGAGAGTCCGATCCATCTCACTGCATCCGCACATTCCCTGCAACCATTCAAGTCAAACAAGCGGAACGTGCACATCGCCAGCACGGCAAACAGAACTTGACACGTACAGCCGTCACAGCAAGTTCTCCTTCTCAGCTACCAACCTGGACAGCACTTGCTCGCATCACACGCAAAAAGCAGTTGACGGTAGTGACGTCCGGCCAACATCCGAGCTAGCAGCACTTGTTAGGAGCTCCAGCAACCTCGCACCATCCTCACCCTCTCCATGGTGTATATAACGCGTAGAGCTTTCTTCTGGCAGTCGTCATCTCCTCTCCTGCCGACATCCTCAGCTGCAGGAAACAGCCTCAGGCCCGCACCATGCCACGAGCTCAGCTGCGTTCACGAGACAGTTGTAGGCTTTGCGACCGGGCGGCGAACCTTGAGTATAAGGGTGAGGAAGAGGGATGAAGATCAGGTTGAGGAGGAGGGAAGAGGAGGGCGGAGCTTGTTACACACCCGTCTTCTGTATGCATTGATCGAAGACATCGATGAACTTAAGTTGAGCATAATCGAACGTCTTGTTCTCGTCATCGATCATGTCCTGCAGGACTTGCTCCATCTCCTCCACCCCTGCCAACAACTTAAAGTCAACCTCCATCCTTCGGACGTCTCATGCGCGCGATACCAACATCTGATGCGATCGCTTGCTCTGCAAAGGCATGAGCACTGGCACTCGGCGCTAAGATCGGCTCTATGGTTGCTCGTTTTTCTGCCAAGACCAGCTCAATACCGATGAGTGAAGAGGATGCGAGTACCGAGGAAGCTGATCTGCGATCCTGCTTCCTGGAAGAACTGTTTCCTGCTTTCCTGGAGCGCTATATCCCATGGCTTCATCTCTTCCTGCTCCATCATGGCAGATCGAGTAGAGGGTGCGAGACTGTTCTGCGGCAAGCGCGAGGGACTGGCAGCATGGAGCACCAGCGCAAAGACACATATCGTCGCTGCCTTCATGGCGAGAGCTACAGATGGCTTCTTTTTGTTTCCTACTCTCTTCCTCCTGCCTCTAGTCAGCCCCGCTCCCGCTCCCGCTCCCGCCTTGCCCCATGCTCCCGCCAATTCTGCATCCGGATCTTTGCGGTCGGAAACCACGGCATAAGTTAGGACGAAAATCAATTATCATGGGCAATATTCAATTTATCCCTAATAATTTAGTGAATAACTCAAAATGGTTTGTGTTCTTTGTTTAATATTTTATGTCTTTGTTGTAAAACCTCAAGTTGGGCAATGAGGGCGCGGGAGAAGCAGGGCAAGGGAGGAGGAGGGGGAGGAGGAGGAGGAGGAGGAGGAGGAGGGGAGGGGGGGGGGGAGGGGAGGGAACGGAGTACCTCTCACCACTCTATGATTCTCTCCACCCTTACTCCTCTCCTGTCCTCGCCC